AGAGCCTGGGATATGTGAACATGTCCTGAAACGTAATCACATGGATAATATGGCTAATAGATACTGTAAATAAAAAATAGGAAATTTTGAATATCACAACGTCAAAAGCGTTCGTATCCACTACCTCAGTTTATTTCATAATAACGTTTTTTATGATAGAATTTCGTAATGTCCTGTCAGGGCCTCCTTGAAGATCTATCACAATATACCAATTTGATACTATAAGAACTACATTTGTTGACAAAAATCAAAAGACAGTCGAAATGTATTCACTGATTGTCAATCGATAAATAGACGAACGAAATTCACCGATCGGCCCATCTGTAAATAAAGGAGAGAAATTCAATAAAAAATCAATCGATAAATAGCCGAAAGGCATATCGGTAAATAGAGTAACGAAATTCACTGAACGGTCAGTTGATAAATAGAGGAAAGAGAATATCTGAAAGGTCAATGGATAAAAGTCGCATACAATTCATTGACTGGTCAGTTAATAATGAGAGACACCAAATTCACTGATTCACTAAACAGAAAATCGATAAATAACAAACAACATTTCACTAAATAGTCGATCGATATGCGATCAAATGAAATTCACTGAGTGGTCAATCGATAAATAAAGGAATGAAACTTAATGGATGATCAGTTGGTAAATAGAGGAAAGAAACTTAATGGATGGTCAGTCGGTAAATAGAGGAAAGAAATTTAATGGATGGTCAGTTGGTAAATAGAGGAAAGAAATTCACTGAAAGGCCAATCGATAAATGGAGGAATGAAATTAAATGGATGGTCAGTCAAAAGATAGAGGAAAGAAATTCACTGAACGGTCAATATATAAATAGCCCTACGGAATTCATTAAAAGGTCAATCGATAATTAGCCTAACGAAATTCAATGAATGGTAAGTAGATACATAAAGGAACAACTTTCAATGAAAAGTCAATCAATCAATAGCATAATGAAATTAACTGAAAGGTTATTCTATTACTAGTCAAAACAAATTCACAAAACGGTAGATTAAATGGCAGCCGAAATTCACCGAAACGTCAATCGATAAATAGAGGAATATTAAGTAGATTAAGAGTCTAATGAAATTCAATAAACGGTCAGTAGATGAAAGGAGGATTGCAATTGAAAAAAAGTCGCTACAAATTCACTGAAAGCTCGATCTGTTAAACGACGACCGAAATTCAGTGAAAGGTCAATCAGTTAAAAGACGAACGGAATTCATTGAACGGTCAGTTGATAAATAGAGGAAAGAGAGTATCTGAAAGGTCAATGGATAAAAGTCGCATACAATTCATTGACTGGTCAGTTAATAATTAAAGACACCAAATTCACTAATTCTCTAAAAGGAAAATCGATAAATAACAAACAACATTTCACTAAATAGTCGATCGATAGGCGATCAAATGAAATTCACTGAGTGGTCAATCGATAAATAAAGGAATGAAACTTAATGGGTGGTCAGTTGGTAAATAGAGGAAAGAAACTTAATGGATGGTCAGTCGGTAAATAGAGGAAAGAAATTCACTGAAAGGCCAATCGATAAATGGAGGAATGAAATTAAATGGATGGTCAGTCAAAAGATAGAGGAAAGAAATTCACTGAACGGTCAATCGATAAATAGCCTAACGAAATTCAATGAATGGTAAGTAGGTACATAGGGGAACGACTTTCAATGAAAAGTCAATCAACAAAAAGACGACCGAAATTCATTGAAAGTTCATTCCTTATAAACATTGAATTAACTGAAAAGTGTGTCTTTGAAAATCTCTATAGGAGGACAAGGCGCCCATTGATTAGAAAACGTGTATAATATCTACTCAAGTATTTGTGAAATAATATTTGCTTTAGCTATGTATTTAAGAGCAAATATAATTGATACATGCTAAGTACGGGGATGTAAAAAACTGTATTCAATTTTTAAGCAAATAGAGCGACTTGACTGCTGTTAAATACATGTTAAAGTGACCGGCTAATTCGTCTACATGTTTGTAATAAAGTACCTTCATTGTTTAATAACATGAAATTACCTAGATTGCTTACCTGATGCATTGGTATTATATACGGAATAGAGGCCTATTTGTTAAGGTGATATATCACGTCTCATAATTATTGCAAAATCGATTTGATTATAGTTTTATACTGCTGGGTGAGTACATATATCTTCCAATAATAACCGTAACAAATCTTCAAGATCTGTCACCAAGAATACTTTCACAATGTCTATGATATACGTTATATACAAAAACAACAAGAAAATATATAATAAAACTTAATAGTAATCCAAGCTCAAATACAAACATAATAATCAACTTCAAAATGTAAGTATCATACGTTGGGAATGCATTATTAGCATATTCAAATATTTGAACATTTTACCTTTTGTTTTGACATCTAAAATATCTCTACCCGAAATCAATTACTGATAATAATTCTATCGCTCTATCTATATATCAAAATTCCACTAAAGGGCTACTCATTCAATCACAGAATCATATTTCAGTAAGAAAGTGGATTGTTTAAATATGCCTATCTCAAAAGGGTGCTTTACAAGTCTCAAAATATTTTAATTAAGAAATAACAATCATTATGTGATATTGTCCACTTCATTTGTTTATTCTTGAAGTGAAAGCATGGATAAAAGGTATAATTGAATACACACTTAAGCGGATTTTTAATGCAAATTTTCTCAATTGGGTTTCTTAACTGACCGACATTGCATTCTTTTTTCCTGTTTTTTGCCTCGAAAGATCTAAAATGGTACAAAATACAAAAAAAATGTAGTACAAATTTAGAATTAGTTACGTTACTGCCTAATAATGAATTAAACTGTACCATACAGCTGTTTAGTCCTTTTATGACTCATAAGTGATGCAAAGAACCTAATGTTTGAAAGCTAGAAGGTGACTGATGAAAATCAAAAGTGATCGAAATATCGATTATAAGATCGCCTCTGGTACCTACGAAATGTACAGATTAAAGCTTATGACATCTACAAGCTCGTAATATTAAATAACTGAAGATAACTTGATAACTGGAAATAAAGATACGTTTAATGGATCAATATGCTTATAAGAAAATTGAAATGATTAGGATAATCCCAGAAGAATATACATTACTGAAGTACAATCACATCATGTTTTGAACATTTTTATCGCGAGGGATATAATAAGTAATACATATTATAGACAAATTCAGAATATCATTACCTTTAACGGATAATTAAACCAACCATTTAACAATATTGAATTTTCCTACTCTGCACGATCCATAATGACCTCAGGCTCGATTGGATACTTTCAGTATAAAATGTAACATGACAATATCCGAAACTATAATAATTTCTCCATTGCAACACTTTATACTTCACTGATAAGTGATTTATATGTTGCAGTGCTTTCTCTTAATGTCAGTGAATGTATTGCCTGTAACATCGTTATTGAAATGTCGAGGCGTTTTAACATGTTAGGTTTTGCGGAATCAGCAACGGAAATCACAATCTGGTGAAAAGCAAAAGATAAGAACACTCGGTCGGTCCCTATCATAGCAATGCAAACTACTTCTATTGTATACTATAGTGTCTTTAGATATGGTGAAAGGTTATTTGTTGATGGATTATATGCGTCTTAATACTAATGAAAAAGCATCAACAACCGGTTCGAGTAGTTAATTGCCTCACTTGATGTTAGGAAATGTTGTTTTTGAAGAGTTCCTACGCTGAGAGTCTGCGCCATCGAGCGTACCCTTGTAGTATTTGGGGCAAACTGACATGATTTCCTATGATAATTGTGACTTTGATCTCATCACACCGATAGGCAATTACGTGTCTTATTTAACCTAGCTTTTCATTTAGTTGTCTTAAGATTATGGGTAGGACTATTTTTTAAAGAAGATTGAATAAATAAGACGTATCGTTTTGATTAGTCAATAAGTACACACATAGATGTATGCTGTAATGACGTATTTAGATGTTGTCTTATATCATCATTGGTAAACGTAATATAATATTGTTTATCATCATGTATATACCAGACCTCCGCCACATTGACTTCGCCCACGCTTAAAGCATATGTAATATCCGATTATAATTTTTTTTTTTACATAATCAATCACACTCTGATAATCACATGTTAAACTATGTAGATTGAAACATCAATTCATTTATTATTGAAGTCTTCACATTTCATCGTCGGACTTTGATATGACGTCATCACTTATATTTCGTGTGGGATTTATTATTGTATTAACACGCGAGGTGAATCAATCATGAATTTAAATCCCTTGAGATAATTTGAACGAAAATAACCCTTGATGACATACATACTGATTCGGTTATCAATAGAGTCCATATATCTTACAGGACATCATTTGCGAATTTAAAGTCATTTCTTGTCCACGAAATCATGTATTCGCGAATATGTCTGAAGAAGTAAGTTTTCGGGAAAAAAAGTAATTTGCATTTAGTTGTAACGAAATGTGTACAATCAGGTAGTTATTGTCATCTTTTGTAAATCGTAATAACAGTGCATACGTTACACTAGACATCAATTTAAACTGCGCATCGTATGGGCCATACAAAATTGAACTTTTCCCAAATAATTAATATTGAAGAATGTGAAACAACGATATTAAGTTTATCTAGATATTAAAACAAATATACTGATACTAGTGTATACTATGCTATTTTGAAATCCTCATTTTTATCTCTTTTTTTATTTTGATAATGTATATTTTACAATGAATTATTGATACTCATTTGTATCATTCCCTACAGAATTTATGAAAATGGAAAATCGACAATTTTATAGTCATCACTCAACATGTCATTCAAAATTGCACAATTACATGATCCTGTGTAGGTTCTGGTTGCAACGGCAGTAGTTGGTCAATAACTGGCGTACGCTATTGGGAATCGATAAATTAATTGATGTCTTTTAATATCATTATCATAGCATCACCGTAATCCCCACTGAACAGACAACGACAGTGTTCAAAATGCCGTCTCCGGTTCATGCATTGTTCTTAGTTGTGATTTGCAGTATTTCCATGTCATATGTTTTGGCTTCTAAGGACATTGTCGTTGCTTCTGTGATATCAAACGGCGGAAATCTTCCGTATGACTACAGACGGGCGGCTCCTGCTGCTGACTTAGCGATGCTTGAGATAAATTCACGATATGCTGGTATCTTGAATTTTACATACCTTTACAGAGATCCGGGACCGGACTGTTCTGAAAACGATGTTGGGGCAATTGCTTCTGACCTTTATCATCTTAACAACGTAACAGGATTCGTTGGTCCAGGTAGGTTACTTTGTTTTCCTCTTAGGAGTAAGTGTAAAGATATTTTGAAAATGTAAAGTAAGGAATTTTATTTTGTAGATAGCAACAGTTCATCAATATTCTGTACAGCATCATTTTTTTCGTCACGTTTATTAAGGTTTATTTGGTATGACACAAAGTTCTAAGTTGTTTGACAAACACTGGAATAAAGCATGCTCCAGGAATAAAAAAAATCGGTGTATTCCTGCAATTTTGTCCTGCGTGCATTGATTTAGGATAATCTGTTTATTGACGACGCCTACAAAAATGTTACCGACGAAATAGGTCTTCAAATTGGCAAAACAAAAACGCACTACTTCACGCAAAATATTCATTTTCCGTCTTGATATGTTTTGCCCATCTGTCTAAGAAGAAGTGAAACCTTAACACAAGTTTCTGTCATATTTGCTTTCTTGTCATATTATTTTCTCTCGCACCAATAGGAACACGTACCCCATAGGCGTCCAAGCTTTTAGGAATTTTTTTACAGATGCCGTATCTCATGGCATCGATGGCCTGAAACGCAGTGCCTATCAGACACACAAAAAAAAAACATTCCATATTTTGAAATGTGACACTTGAATGACTAGTATGTTATCGCAGTAGTTATCAACTATTGAGTGACTTTTTACTGAAATAGGCATGGAAATTTAGATCCGTTCACAAATACAGAGCCCATTTTTAATTCCGAGATTGACACACACCACTACGTCCTATTATATAAATTATATTATCTTGATAGCATTTAATGGTCCCCAAAATGAGATTACATGGACTGTTTTAAAAAAGTCTAAATCAGAGATTATACGTGTATGAGAAAGATAACTTCTAGAAATATGTCTAGAATCCTATTTGCAACTTACCTTATGACAACGTTTGATAGAACAGAATGTATGGATCTTTCATTAATAAAGCGTTGCGGTAATTGACATACATATATCCGTTACTCAAGTAAGTCTCCTTTATTGATTTTACAGGTGAGGACGTATGCAATTGTCACTTTTATGACCCATTATTATATCACCTTACATTAGAGGTCTTTGACATCATACAGTTGTTTAGGATTAACGTATACCAGGTCAATTTGGTTCAAATAATGTAAAATCTTACACTGGGCTCAAATCTACTGATTTTTCTGTGTTGAGAATTCACGAAGCAAGATTACAAGATTTAAAAACAGTTTAAAAACCAAACAACACAGCAAAAGATATTGGACACTAAAGTCCCATACTGTACATAACACAGCTTCAGTGGGTATATCATCAATTGTGTTTCTCAATGCTGGGATGACACTAATCGAAAATCTTTCTTTGGTTTACACTAATGAATCACCTTTGCTTTGCAACCATATTAGTTTATGATTAGACACAATAGAACCAAATAATGGATTAAACTGCATCTTATATCAGTTTTAACCTTTTAGGACTAATGCTAGGGATATAAATAATCTAGAAAGTGTTTGAGGGTAATCAAAATTTTATTGATCCGATAAATTTGGAAGAACGGTACAATGAATTCAAATGTGACATGCATACGCAGCTTATGGAAAGCGTCGGAGACACACACACAAAATCACCCTCCCTCACCCACACACACACACAAAAACACACACACACACACACGCACACACACACACACACGCGCGCGCGCGCACATAAACCATCACAAAAACATATCCAAAAGGTAATAGGAAGGTTGATTTGATAGTTTAATCTAAAACCTTATGTGTTTCATCAACAATGTATCATTCTCTAAAACTTTTTATTTTTAAAGAAAATCCTCTCAAAGTAACAAAGAATAACCATTCACTACCAGACTCTGAAGCTTGTAGTGAAAACGAGGTACAAAAACGTATTCAGTTTTTTTGTTTTTTTTTTTTTTAATTCTCTTTTAAAATTAGACTTGATCTTCAGGTGAATAGCAGTGAATGTTTGACTGTCTGGGTCCAGTTGTTCAGAGTTTCGTGGCTTGTGAACATTTTCAAATGTTAATAAAAAAAAAATGGAACATTCTTTATCATTTCAAAGTTTTAGATGTGTTAACAAAGGTCAGATTACTATTTGTGTCAATTTTGCTTTAAAAGTCAATCTATTTTCAATGGCAACAATTTCCTTTTCTATGTACCATTGGGAAACTCTAACCAAGTATGGAACAACGGGGATCAGACCTTCATACTTTCGTACTTTTTTAATAAAGGTTACAGTGTTATTCTAATACTGTACACTCCAGACAGGGATTTATAAAGGAAATTTGCAAAAATACAAGTTGCATCTTTTAATATTTTAAATAAACCTATATTTCAGATTTACTTTTTGTTTTGTGCACGACCATTTCCCATATCAAACTTGGAAATTAAATCACTTCGATTTAACATCGTAATGGGATGTTGGCATACCTATAGGAACTAACTGCGCCCCTCTCTTGGTTGACTTTTTTATTCTTTAATTTTCTAACGGGTCTGAATTTATTGAAGAGTTTATCAAAACAGGTCACAAAGACCTTGCGTTTAATTTCATTTTCAAATATACTGATGACGTCTTGTCTTTTAATGACAATAACATGAACATCGTATACATGCACCAGAATTGGAAATCAAAGACACGGCAGACTTTTCTGCATCAGTTGCTTATCTTGATCTTTTCCTACAGCGAAACCAACATGGACAGTTTTTCACCAGGATGTATGATAAACGTGATGATTTCAATTTCCCTATTGTAATTTTTCCATTTCTGGATAGTAATTTTACTTGCATCAAAAACCTTTGGTATTTACATATCGCAGTTGATTCGATATTCAAAGGCATGTATCCATTATCACTGAATGACAAACTTGTAACAGAGTTTCAAAAGACACAGGGATGATAAAAAGTTTGGGGAAGTAATATTGTCGCCATAATGATCTCAATGAGAAATATTACATTTCTTTGTGTGATATGAAGCGTGTTTGATGCCTGTTCATTCGGTTGCTGTATACCTAGTTCCCGTTTGAGAATGTGATTGGCAAAGGTTTACATGGCGGTTTTCGACGCTGACTCTTAAGGAACACCTTGTCTTATTCTCATTGTAATTTTTAAGGGGTACAATTCTTTCCTCTGTTCATATTTTGTATGGGAATTGAGTTTGGTTTATGATTATGTTGACATGCTGGTATTTTCGTGATTTTTTTTGTACATACTTAAAAGAGCAGATGCTTTTCTGATTTAATCGGGTCATCTAAAACTCTCGTTTTGTTTGTCTTTAAACGCTAAATTTGCATGAGAACTTTATATGCGTTGAGAGAATGAAATATTCGCTGCATATGATATGGTTCATGTTATTTTCCAGCATGTAGTCATGCAGTGAATGTTGTTGGCCGGATGGCGTCCTCTTGGAATCTACCTATACTGACTCCAGTCGGGACAAGTGGCACCTTGGGGGACAAGTCAAACTTCCCCACACTAACAAGACTGGCTTACAATATGAACAAATTTGCCAAGTTCTATCTACAAGTATTCAGTCAATTTAACTGGACTGACGTTACAATCATGTATGACCAAGTGCACGTTTTCTTCAGGATAGTTGGAACGAGTCTAGGGAACGAATTTCCTTCTGCCGGTATTTCCAGTAAAGTAATCGAGTTTGATACAAATGGTGATTTTGATCACAGAACCATGTTACTGACTGCCAGCGCACGTTCAAGAGGTAAGTCATTGTAACACTGTATAAAGATAGAATACTGAATACAGGAGAGACCCAGTTGTCCGGTCACCCTCAGTCCAAACAAACCTAAATTCTTTTCTGCATTTGTGTCCCTTAGTTATTAAGTTACTAAGTGACTGAGTTAACAAATCTCATGTCTTTGAAATTTGCAAACAACTTAACCGCTCATATATAATTGTAGCGTGCCTGGTGATGTAGTGCAATGTTACATTTATCGAGATTAGAAGATGGTTGATGGTTACGCTTTCATTCTTGACACATCAAGATAAAAATGATCGCATGGATGATTTCTAACATTGCAATGACGTCAAAATATGAACAGCTTTTATCAATACATATTTTGGGTTGATGTTGTTGAAATATTCTCTCTAAAGTAAACAGTAACGATGATGTTATGGTTAAAATATTAAATAATAAAATAACGTTTTTCTTCGTAATTATGTCTTCAATGTCAATTTCAGTATTTGTTATCAGTTGCCATGGTGATACATTCCGCGACATTATGTTGACCTTCTATGACCTCAGAATGGCATTTGGCGATTACGCCGTCATCTTTATTCGTCTGTTTGAGGGAGATGATGTTGGCAACATGTCTTGGATGAGAAATGACGAGAACGATGCTGTAAGTGATGAAAATGGTATTTCTGAAAAAATACACATTGTGCAAGTAAATGATGAACTAAACAAGGTCAGTGGTGTCCATTGAATGTATTAATTTGAAAACTTACCATCGTTTCCATTACATACACTTTTGCTTATTTGCTAGTATATACTGAATTCTTAATCACTTTCAGAAAGCTAAGATAGCATACGAGAGTGTGTTGCTGGTTCAGCCAAGAAGACCCGAAAGTTCGGAGTTTTTGCAATTTGAGCAGGATGTGAAAACTAGATCTTTACAAGATTACGACTTTGTTTATGGCAACATTGAGGTAAGGGGAACCTACCAAGTCAGTTCACTGATGAGGTCAAACACCTTACATCAGCCTCTACAGAAAATGCCGTGCAAGCTAGTATTTTAGGTTTTACACAAGTTATCGTCAAAATCTTAATACTGTTGATGGTCTCCTTCCTGTTGACGAAAACAAAACACACAGAAATAGCTATCATGAAGAAGGTTCTAGAAGTAATGTATCGCTTCAATAGGTTTATGAGCTCTCTGAGTGGCACTGTTGCGCCCAGTATGGGTGGACTCCGGATTGTTTCTCCTAATAACATAAATTATCACTATCTGATGAAGCTTAGTTCTTTAAGTCATAGTGACTTTGCTGTGGTCATCGATTTATAATCAGCATCAGTGTGTAATGGAGTCTAGGTCAACAAACTCACGATTAAATAGCTACAGGAAAGTCTTATTAGTAACCATACTTACATAGATGTATCGACTTGGCAGACTACTTCTGTGAAAGCTTTTAAGGAAATCATCTCAATTATAGTTTAAACAGTTTTCAGTTTAGAGCATCACCGTGTTCGTCTTACTTAATTACTTCATGTCACGCAGATTGAGCATGAAATCCCTTCAATGGATGTTTGTGTTTTTTGTGTGGGAATATTTGTAACTTCCTTGCTTTATGTATAGAGTGTATGATTATGTTGTGTGAACTCACCTGTGCAAACCATTATACAGCATTGACAGTTAACCGAATTGCCGGTCATTTTCCCAAGGATGATTTCGCTATTTCGCGGTGCATTAACGTGATCACACCGATAAAATATCCATTTATAACCAGATTGATAAATTGTAATATGTTGAAATATTATTCGATCGTTTGAAAAGAATATGTTAATTTGTTTTCGAATTATTAGTATATTTCAATCATGTACTTCCCTTGCCCCTCCAATAATCATAAAACATAAAACATAAACATATATCGAAACACTTTTCTTCTTTTTTTATTTAAAGGTAAATATTTTCATCACGGCTTTCTACGATTCCTTTCTTATCTACGCGCAAATCCTGAACGAAACCCTTTCTGACGGTGGTAACATCCTCGACGGATTTAATCTTACAAGACGACTTTGGGGACGCACCTTTCAAGGTATGAAACACATGACTATCGGCATGACTTTGAGTGCCTGTGTGATGAGGCGTATTTATGTCGCTTAAGTAGATAAAGTTTTGAGCCACCTCGTCGGCCCTCTAATAGTAACTATGTATATAATATTCTACATGTCATCCCACCGTTTGATGCAATAACATGATGTAAATACGATCGGATAATTGTCATATAAGTTTATGTCAAGGCACGAACAATATCTGGAAAGAATATATAAAAAGTTGATATGTATGATACTATATTTGATTTTACATCATCTCTATACAAAACCATCAGACTACAATTACGGCTGAAATAATAACCAGTATATTCCACCAAGAGACAATCCGATCTCATTTATCTGCTATATATTACATATTAATTATTTTGTTTGATCGGTTCCTTTACAAAGGATTGTTTGCGATTTTAGGAAGACTTATGTAAAGCTTGTCATTCAAATTGTTTAAGGTTTCGTCACCTTCAAACATTTGAATAAAGGCGCGAAAATAGATTCACGATTCATATGAAAAAGAAATGTGCTTTGCTTTCACTTTTGGTACAACCACAAAAATAAAATTTAATCAATCAATTCAAAAATCTTCTATAGAAATATGACATTTTATGTGTACAGTGAAATGTAGATGCAATATTCCTTGATATCCTGCAGGAATTGGAGGTACCATTGCCATTGATAGCAATGGCGACAGGGATACAGATTTCTCTCTGTTGGATATGGATACTACGACTGGAAATTTCACGGTTTATTTTCATCTTTGTTCCCTTCTGTAAACCTTAAATTGAATTTATGTTTTGAAAGTAAAATGAGCGGTAGGCATTTAGAACTTTGCTGAATAAATGATTTTGGTCATAAAAAATTGTTGGAAGTGGCAAAAATCTTAATAAAATTGAAAATGTCAGCAAATAAATATATTTGCCGGCAGCCTACGTAAAATATTTTGATCAGTTGATATTCTTGACCCTATGTTTAAAATATGTATATGATTTTGCATACTGTGCCAGGTTGTGGGTAATTATTTTGGAGAGCTGAAACAATTCAAGTTCGTCGATGGAGTGTCTATATACTGGCCTCAAGGGAAGGGTCCCCCAGCAAATAAACCCCGTTGTGGATTCACAGGAGATGCGCCTCAATGCCAAAGCTATGGTGTGTTTTGAAAAGTGACTGCTCATTGTTATCATCTTACCACAACGATATCCGGGGTTTTCTTGTTATTGCTCCGTGTCTTACTTCATATTATTATTAATTTTGTTCTAACGCTTTTGATGTATGATGTCTAGATATCCATTGTGCTATTCATTTTCGGTTCGTACAACCAAGATGTTTCTGCCGCCGGTAGAAATTACGACCATACCATTTTCATGAATTCCGTATGTAGGTATATCACGGTAAATCAGTCACTACCGTTACCTCAATTTCGCATTTCAACAAAAAGGACTGCGATTTCCTGACCTTTGATTGTCAAATTGTATATACAGTTTAAATAAAATTTGGTATGAAGATGTATTGTGACGCTCCAAGCAATTTAAGGAGGTCTAGGTGTTCGGGACTGGTCGGGATGTAGGATCTGAATGGGTCGACTGTTGTTCGCATTGTAATTAAAGTTATAATTGATTTTGTTTCACTCTGGAATATGGAATCATTCTGGAATAATTGTGTAGAATTATTTTCATAAGAATACATTTAATTTCAAACCGATTGGCAGAGAGTGACATAAATGAAAATGGAAAACCTTGTATAGTCAGTATAATATCGATAGTCCTTGTTGCACTGGCGTTAGCTAATTCAAAATTCCCTGAACATTGTAGATGACAAATAATAGTTTTCTTACGGTAATGCATACGAAAGCAGTACACAATGGCAATATCTTAAGAATGAATGAGCTTTAGGATTATTTTGCTGTTTAGAACCAAGCGTAGGTGTGCTATTTTAGAGTAATTTGATTAGCCAAATTGTACATGTTAACCACATGCATCCCTGTGTTGTAGGCATGTCTTGTTAATCTATAAAAAATAAACATAATATTCACCAAAATTTAACCGGTGGCTGTTTCAAAGCTATCATGAAATATAGTTCCGAAATATGAAATATTTTGTCATTGCATACGTTTTGTGATGTGATCTGTGTGACAATTCGAGATACAGATTCCGTCCGTGATAATAATGTGTTATCATGTAATCAGACACGATCAGAAGTGAATAAGAATAGTTCAGTAAGTATGCTCATTGGTATTCAATATTGCTAGATAACATATCTCCATTTTTATATATTCATCATGGTATCGTGTTGTTACAATGTAACCTGAACCACGTCTGATGTGTATTCAAACTCAAACTGCTAACAACATGGGAATATTGCAAGTAATGTAAGCAAATTGAGGTTGTCTTCCCTTGCGAAAAGATGAGAATTGAAAACAGTAAATATAAACATTAATTTCCTTTCAGTTGGCATTCACGTGCTATGAATGTTAACAGGACAAATCCAAATTCAACAGGAAGCACTAACGCGCTTTACTGCATTTGCTCTTATCCTGTTGGCATTGATATGCCCATGAATGCCAATTGAAATCAGTTCAATGCTTTATTGGAAGACACTGTCATAATCATGTTCAACTGTTATTTGGAAGACTGTTATCGATGCACATATTGTATATGAATCATGCATAAAGAAAGTTAAGAGATATGTGAAAACAGGTATCTTTTGAAAGTTTCCTATGTTTTTTAGAGTTACCTGCTGTTGCTATAGCCGGTATTGCCTTTTCCTGTGTGATAGTAGTGTTAACTATGATAGCTGTTGTCGCTTACAGGTAAGCATATAATAACACAGCATAACTGTTAATCAATAGTGTTGCCGAATGCAATTAGTCCGTAAAAACATAACATTGAATAAATCATACAGCTGTTTCGTCCTTCTGGTACTCATCCGTGATGTTTTTTTCTCCTGCTGGATGTAACACTACATTGTGTTATGACCTTTTAACTGAGTCCCAAAACCTTTTTCATAACCTTCCTACTGTGACTGGGAAATACTAAAACTTAACTTGTACGTATAGATAAGAGATACTGTCGTGTACCAGGTGTTTACGTTTTCATTGCTTACATATCCGTTACAAAATGTACCTTATAGACGACCATTTACCAAATTATCCTAGCTACAATGGATGTGAAGTACTAATACCATATTGCTAGTAAACCACAACCTACATGTTGTGCCGTTTTTATTTCTTATATGGATCACCAGACTGGTTTTTTTATCCTTTCCAGGAGGTTGAAACTAGAATCAGACCTTCATAGTTCATGGTGGAAGATAAAGTCGACAGATTTGCTCGCAACGAATGTCGGAAGCCGAGTCATTAGTCGGCTATCGGTTGTTCAGGTACATTAGCGATTAGGTTATGGGAACAGTCTCCCATCAGGCCGTAGGGGTCATTTACACAGTGATGATCAGTCAGCGTGATTCCTGTAGCTACTTCGTCTACCCTACACCAACGGTCTTTGAAAGCAGATTTAATTCAGAGGGCTATCCCAATGCGCCATAGGTTTGGACAAAAACAAAGCACACAATACTATTTTGTTATAGAAATATCTGTGGTATTGAGATATGATTCTTATGGTACATTAACTGGAAACATTAATGGGTCATAGAGAACAATTTCATATAAATGGATATAGTCCACACTAGTATTGTAGTAATTTGTAACGTGTTACTGTCAAAACATCTGTATAATCTGGTTTGTAAAGTAAAGTATGAATGGAATACAGGGAACACATTTGCTATTCAAATGTGGAATCTTAATCAAACATGGACATATCTCAGTTAATTATCACATTCAACACCTCTGAGAAGGTCCTATGAGGATTTTATTCATTTATATGTCATTATGTTTGGATACAATTATGAAAAATGAAATAACCAATATTCAATATATATCATAAACGCATTTAAAATTCGAATAGTTATAAACGTATAAAGACTTAATGTATAACTAATAATCCTATCGTTATACTCTCTAATCTAATAACAAATTCGCAAATAACAACGTAAGTGATAATGGACCTTAAGGTGTCAATATTTCAACAAAGATAGTGACGACAATGCATATAATAGGATCCAACAAAGGGTTTCGTACATATATCATATAAGGCTTCATTTACGTTTTTCTCCATTTTCAAAGCAATAGCATCGAGGTTTTGATAAACTGTGGTACATGTAGATATCATCCATAATTCATCATTGAATGTTTCCATTTTAAGTCCCTGGGAGGTGAAAGCAAATCAAAAGAGGATGGCGCACAGATGTTTACAACGACGGCGTTCTTTAAAGTAAATGAATGGTTATCTAACTTCCTTAACAGATATTACCAAACTGTATTAAAGGTTGTAAATGTGTCTCGCAACATCTATATGTGATATCTGTGCTGCATATTTTGAAATAATGGCTAAAGTCGAATTTTAACCAAGATTTCATAGTGTACTCAAAGAGTTATGATACATGAAATATACTTTGTCTAGACATTACCTAGAATGTTCAGTACGTATCTACAATGTAGTGTAAAACTTCCTTTCATGAAAATATATTAAAGGAACACGTGTGTATTTAGGAAACGATATCTATATATATCTTATTCTATTTACATGCAGATATCTATTCCTAAGTTACCTTTACTTTTTCAATGATGATATTCATAGTGTTTTCAGCGTTAACAACAGTGAAATAGATATTTGTTTTACGTTTAATAATTTAGACGTCTGAAAACCCCAAAAGACTTTCAATAATGGTTACATAATTAGAATACCTACAATACATTTTATTCATTCATTGTAAAGCTATGTTGTTTCTTCCAACATAAAGGGCAGTACAGTGGCCACCAAAAAGTTCCAAATAAAGCAGTTCAATGCTGATAGAGTAAGCCTTTTGGAGCTGAAACAGGTAAACATTTAATTCTTACTGGTAAAAAGAGCTTATTATAATTAAGAGGAAAAACGTGTTCGTTAATTTCTGTTAGATACATGTAATTATTTCACCATATTTCCTTTAGTTGAATGAAAGAAACTTTTGTTATTTACACGAGAAAGAAATATGTCACCGTCATACGATTTTTTTTCTTTTTAGATGAGAGACATTGCCTGTCCTAATTTGACTCGATTGATTGGTTTGGCGATAGAACCATTCCACGTCGTCCTGGTAACCGAATACTGTCCCCGTGGCAGTTTGCAGGTCAGTAGATATCTGTTTAACAATTAACTAATAAATGTATAATTTCTGATTTTATCAATTAATTCCGATACCTATTACCAATGAGGTTACTAACTATTATTCACATAACTTTCTAATTGAATTTTGGTATTTTAGGACATTTTAGAGAATGAGTCCATACAACTTGATATGGATTTTAAGAATGCGCTTCTCACCGATCTCGTACAGGTAGGTACAGGTTGGACACCGACGTTGATTTACTAGTTTGAATTACACAAAATTGTCTTTCCCTATCTCAAATTTGACATGGTATTAAGATATTAAGATTGTCCAAACCAACATAAATATTTAATACAACTGACAAAATATTTTCATCATTAATGACAAGAATATAATCAAAATTAGAGTGGCCGGACCGAACATCAATATATCTATTTATGTATAACTTATACTAAAGATTTTCTTATCCTTTTACTTAACTGTTTGGACATGATTTTGATAATAGCATTAAAATGGTCATGCATTATATGTTTCACAGGGCATGGCTTATCTTCATGCCACTCCTATCGAGGTTCATGGTAACCTCAACAGTTCTAACTGTGTCATAGATGGACGCTTTGTTCTCAAGATCACGGATTTCGGTCTGACACGTCTGCGCCAGCTTGAGCAAAAGCTTAATGACAACCATAATATCAGAGGTATTGTTCATGAAATTATGGTCAATTTATTTTTTATACATTTTTATAAAATAAAATCAAAAAAGAATAAAGTTGTTCATAATGAAAAATCACTCCGAAATTTCAATGATTTCTTTTTCCCCAAAGGAACAAATAAGTAGCATGAAACTTCATCAAAGCTTCAGTTTGTCGTCCGTGTCGCCAGTTCATTAGTACTAAATCTGTTCAATTGCGTTTGAGATGCACACTTACTTTGATCATTATGCTACAGCGCAGGTATGGATGGCCCCGGAACACCTCAGGAACTTTCCCAACAGAACAGTGTCTCATAGCGGAGATGTGTACAGTTTTGGAATCATTCTGTTTGAAATCCTTACCAGACATGAGCCTTACGAAGATGAATTAGAACACATTACAGTTTCTGGTATGTTTTCGATAAAGTTTCAAATGATTCTACAACAAACACAGGAGAATGATATATTTCAGTACAATTGGTTGAAAATAGTTCCACAGACCTGCACCATATAGCGGAATGTTCGTCTTTTAAGGCGTCGTCTGTGATGCTTGGGACCGTACGAGTGGAGATCTAAAAGACGAGTTCCAATATACATCAATCTGATTTAGTACGAATGTTAAAATAAAAAATAATTAATTTTTCGTTGTTTATAAGCAGATTGCAGTTTTCGGATGCGTTGATTTTTCCTTTTCATTTCGAGATGAAAACAAAGTCTAGCTTTAGCCAACTTGATAATGGTTGGAGGAGTCAAGGGCGACATGCCACCTTGCGGCAGGTCTGTCGGAACTCTTTTTTCTTATAAATGCAATATCTGTTTACGAACAAATCTGTTATATGAATTGCTGTCATTGCAGAATGTATACAAAAATGGACTACAAATCATGAACTATTTAAATATCTTGCAATGTACAGAAAACAAATAACGGATTTATCGAAGGAATCTTTTTTATTTCAATTTTGACACATTTTGAACATAGAAAACCTTCTGATCAAAACGACGTTTGTGTCCGAATTACGATTACAAGATGGATTTCAATCTTGGTGGTGTCTTTGGCTTCGAGGTTTAATATGATTTTATGCATAGTGAATTAGATGAGAATTTAGGAACATCAGCGAAACCTTATCTAATGCATGAGGATTAGTTAGGAGTGCTAGCGAAGTTCCTCTTTACCCATTCACCTATATTACAAATTGCCATTGCGTATAAACCAACAGCACCTGTCCTGGAGCCCCTATGTCCAATGTCTATTACTTTACAGTTCCGTTTGGAATGTGTTGTCCTACTTATTAACATCGACGTGACGTTATATCACGCAAGGTCTTATGTGTAGTTACTTCTTATAACATGATCTTTCTTTAAATTATCATACTTATTTGTGCTATTCTAGTTATTGAAAGATGAAATTGAGAAATCAATTATACATTTTGCAAGGAATATGCGCATTCATGATAAGTTTGTAAATCGATTTTTTTTATACCAACAGGAAACAAAATAATATTCCGACCAAAACATGAATAAGGTGTAATTTCACACACCTATATAATATATATATTACCATTTTTGAACCATGCCACTATTCATAAGAATTCAATTTTGTGTCAACTAGAATCAAACTTCCCCATACACCTGTGTATCAATTTGTAGATGTACTTCACAAAGTCAAGCGTGGCCTAGACCCACCGTTCCGTCCCATGTTGCCACAGACAAGTGAAAAGAGCGACCTTGTGAAAGTCATGAAAGAGTGTTGGAACGAAGACCCGAAAATGAGACCTAGTTTCCATTCACTGATGCGGACTATACGGAAAATTTCTGGGTTAGTAGAATTCATTCAGAAAATGGGTAATGTACATGATTGCACAACACTACAATTCTGGACGTATCGCCAAGATATTTTGTTGTTGTATATAACCGAGACTGACAGATATAAAACTCTTGGCTACAGGTAAAATGATATATCTGCATGTTTTGCGTCGATAAAATGAATATTGTGTACTGGATAGCTTCCTATTTGCGTTATTTGTCATACTTTACATTACTTCTAACAGAATAACAGCAGGTCATAATATACTGGATTCATTACTTAAGAGGATGGAACAGTATGCAAACAACTTGGAGGACCTTGTAGAGGAGAGGACCAAGGCGTTCTTGGACGAGAAACGAAAGTCGGAGGAGTTGCTCTATGAAGTACTTCCAAGGTACATGTACATCATAATATACATCAGCATTAAGTTTTTAATAATTAAATTAGGATAAGTAGCCATTACTAACCTACGGAGCCATTCCAATTTCGTAAAGACTTTCTGAAAATCAAGATAAATTGCTATTTAATCGAGATGTCGCAAGCATGTTTTTACTGTTTCCGTGTTGTTATTGATACATGAACATATCGTTGAAATTGGCAGGCCATATTTCATTAATATATTATAGGAGTGTAGCTGACCAGCTGAAAAATGGACAAAGTGTAGACCCAGAGTCATTTGAATCGGTCACTATATATTTCAGTGATATTGTGGGCTTCACCAACCTTTCTGCCTCAAGTCTGCCAATGCAGGTAACGTTACAATTATATCATTGTGTTTAAATGTTGTTTTCAACGTAGTTCTCTCCAGTTTTAACCTGCATGTACACTTTTATTCATTCGAATAGTGACATGGTCGAGGATAAGTATATGTACTCAACGATTATTGAAATTTTTGAAATTCGACCAAACTGGAAGCGGGAAAGAGGCATTCAAATCAAAAAGAAATATCGATGACGAAATCATAAAATGATCGAATTTCTGCCTGACATTATCTTTGTCGACATGGGTTGTAAGAATGTCAGGCACACTGTCAGCATATCTAGGAAAACGAACTGTGGCACGCTCTTTTCTGTTTTATTTTATTTTTATTTATTTATTTTTTTCATATGAGGCTGAATCGAAAAGCTTATTAAAACAAGTCACAAAGACCTTGCGAATTCCTTCAATTTCACTTTCAGATATATCGACGACGACTTGTCTTTAAATAACAAAAGATTTATTGACCTTGTTCATCATATATACAGTATATACAGCTGGCTGGTCTAGATTGTGAAGAACTCTTTTGACCAATCTTAAACGCCCACTTCTTAAAATCCATTTCTTCTATAAGAACATTTGATTTTCCCATCACGTACACAACCATATCCCATGTTATGATATCTGTCTTTTCCAAAACCAAGAAAATTGGACGACGATATAAATGTACGGCTGTGAACTATACTGAAGCGTATTTCGTCAAAAATACGCCCAAATCAAAGGTGAAATATGCGTAGGACGAAATCATAAAATGATTTAGTTTCATGTTGACAACTTCCGGTGGTAAGACCTTCCAACAGATTATTGGCATAGCTATGGGAGCTATCTGCGCCCCTCTATTGCCTGACTTGTTTTTTGTTTTCATACGAGGCTGAGTTCATGAAGTGCTTATCAAACAGGTAACAAAGGCGTCCATCATTTTTATCCACCAGAATTGGTAATTAAAGATATGACAGACTTTTTTACATCAGCGGTGAATCTCGATCTTTTCCTACAACAAAACCAATATGGACAGCTTTCCACAAATCTGAATGATAAACGTGATGATTTCAATTTCTCTGTTGTGAATTTGCCATTTATGGATAGCAATATCTCTGCATCCCCAACCTTTGATATTTACATGTCATGATTCGATATTCAAATGCCTGTTCCCATTATCACGCTTTTCGTGCAAGAAGTCGTCACTGAAGGACATACAGTTTGATAATTATGGATATGCTTTATGGTAGCCATAGTGATCTCATTGAGAAATATTCTATTTCTTTGTACAATATGAAACTAGACGTTTCTAATGCTCGTTAGTTTGCCTGTTGTATGCCTTGTTCTCATTTGAGAACGTGACATTGCTTACTTGGATTGAACAAGGTTTTCATGTCTGGTGTCGTCGGTGAAGCAGAAGACGCTCAGACCTCCGGAACATTTGAGTTTGGATTATGTTCAAGTTGCCATGTTGGTATTGTTTATACAATCTTAGTCAGATATAAACTTTGCCTCAACAAATATGAAATGCAGTGGTAAAGATTGTTCTAACTTTACTCTTTTGAAGTCATTTAATGCAACCATAGACGCTAAAAATACAGAATCTCCAATGAGTTTTCATCTAACATGAGATTTTATGAAAGTTTTCATTCATTCTTTCCAAACAAAAAATAGAATTTCTAGATCAGTCTTACAAACTTTCGTATGATATGTAAACAAATTTAAGATACTTTTTATCACATAAGCCAGAAAAGTTATATTTTGACAGGTTTAAATATTAAAATGTGGAGATAATGTCAAATGGAAGCGGCCATTTTCAGGTCATAACGTAAGGCCTTTGTCCGTATTCCGACATTACAATCCATTTCTGACTGGCGTTGCTTATGGAAAACGCTCCAGGGTATATTAATATGGTGACATGTGCAGAACAGACCGATAATGTGATAACATCTTTGACAAATGCTGAATATATTTAATTAAGTGGATTTAGTGTCTAGGCTACCAACGTGTATTTCACTAACATCATGATTTGCTTTCTTTCCGCAGGTTGTGGACTTCCTTAACGACTTGTATACCTGTTTTGATAGCATTTTAGAAAGCTATGACGTGTATAAAGTACGTAAAATTATTACACTGAAGAAATCTGTAGGATCTTATTTGTTACTCGTACGCAAAACCAATGTTCAAATGTCGATGTTCTGGTTATCAGAAGCTAAAAACTACATTGTACATGTGATTGATTATCTGCTTCTATTCAATTATTTACCTAAATGCAACACTGCTTTCGGAGTTATTTTAGTAAATTCGATCATAGAATTTCCCATATAATGTTTGCATAAATCGAAATTTTAGTGATGGACATATTGACACGCGGGATTTGTTTAATTATATTTATATAAATAATATGTATGTATATATGTATTTATTTATAATGTCTTTTCAAACCTAACAACAAAACCTATGCAGAGATAAAAACAAGCAAAAAAATAATTCATGTTTCAGGTGGAGACTATTGGAGATGCTTACATGGTCGTGTCCGGACTTCCGGTACGGAATGGTTCGGAGCACGTCCGACAGATTGCTCGTATGTCTTTGAGTATCCTCGAAAACGTTTCAAAGTTCAAAATAAGACACAAACCTGATGCCATACTCAGGGCAAGGATCGGCATTCACTCAGGTAAAGATAAATTAATAACAACTTTATATGGAGTACGATTGAAATATCCTCTACACTTCCTATGTAGTTTACAGACCGAAAATTTGTCTCTAAAATGATAGTTTAATGTCAGTTTTCTCAATATTATACTGTAATTGATATTTATATTTGTATTGCCTATGATAATTTAGAACGAGCAGAGTCAATAACAAGAGGCCCATGGGCCTGAACGGTCATCTGACTGCAAAACCTTTCAGCTGGGAAAAGGTTATCTTTTCTACTTTGAATGAAATCTTTCTAAGAAGCTGTTTTCCATGATGCAGATGGTAGCTATGGTGAGGAGTAGGTAACTGTAACAAGTGTTAAATGTTTCTTGACAGTAAAGTTGGAGCACAATGCAATTGGTGAAAATTGTTTGAAATAAGTGTTGCACAGGAAAACCATGATTGCGCAAGCATGTTACAAAATGGTCTCCCTTGCTGCCGTATCAAAGTTTTGACAAGGTCGAGAAATAACAACACTTTGTTGGCTAGCTTTCTTTAACATTCCCACCAATATTTAGCTCAATGGCACCATTGGAACTGGGGAAAAAGGTTTAACTATGTTTTTCAAGATGACGGCAATCTTGGATTTCAAACATACACGAAAAACCACAACACGGTCAGGATCATCTCGGGATCATTTCCTGCAACTAAGAGCTCAGTTCCACCTGTGGAACTTGAGAAATATCAAAAGTTTACGCACAGTGGACAGCAGACGACGATGGAGAAAGCACGATGGCTTAAGGTCATCATGACCCTTCAGGTCAGATGACCTAGAAATGTGAATATCAAAATAAATGTATATTGACATTCTTTATCGTTTTAGAGACAGAAATTGTCGGTCAATGTAGCTTGATAATCAATGTTTATCTACACTTCGTACATTGGTATATAATCCAATGAACAAGAATATAATGAAACCCATGTTGAATTCATTAAAGTATTAAACATCTAAAACTATCAATTGTCAAAGAAAAACTTCCAGAGTATTCAGTTCCTAGTTGTGTTTACAGGTTCTGTTTGCGCTGGGGTTGTCGGGAGAAAAATGCCTCGCTACTGTTTATTTGGCGATACTGTCAACACAGCATCCCGGATGGAGTCCAATGGCGAAGGTAGGAAAATCTGTCATGGAACTTGTGCCGATCCGCCAGTTACAAAGTGTTGTAAAGTTGAACTTTATGCGAGTCCAAAACAAGTCTACATACAGTGTGTTGCTAACGACAAAAGCAACTGATTCCTTCGTACAACCTCCATTCTATTCTTCTATTCTATTCACCACTAAGTCTTGTTTTCCTTCAAATAATTAAGACACATTCTTCAAGTAGATAAGTCGCCCAGATATGACGTGATTTGATCAGGTTAAGAACTTGATATTGTCATACTACGGGGTAAGTATGAACCAAATATGTTGGGAGATTCTCAAGATTTAGAAAGCTTCTCAAGATTTGGTACGAGGCACAATGGACGGATAAATGACAAGGAAACAATTTAATCCCCACCAACCCCTGTAAAATGGCAGGAGCATAAGAATGATAATGAATGTGACACGAGAATGACGAGAGTCTCGGTTATGTAGTTACATTAAACATGTATATTGGTTTGAAAGGAATAATGAAGAGTTCTTTGTATCCATTTGATATATGTTTAACTTTCATCTCCCTTTATAAAAGGCACTCGAGATAAAATTCTATGTTCCATTGTTACAGCCATGAAGATCCATATGAGTAAAGACACAAAAGACATGTTGGATGCTTATGGAAATTTTCTGATAGAAACAAGAGGTGAAATCACTGTAAAGGTAAGAAAAATCTCACACTTTTAACTAATTCAAACCAGGTTTGTTACTTCAGATGACAGGGTATAATTAATATATCAACTTCTATAAATCAAACTCAAAGCAGTTGTTAAACTGTTTCATTCATAGTCAAACAACCATATTTTACATTCCGTAATATGTTTTATCAAAAATAGTACCCTAATAATTACTTGATCTCGATATAGAACATGTCATCTTTAGTGATCTTACCTACATGTTTTTCAGGGCAAAGGTTCAATGGTCACCTACTGGCTCCTTGGAGAAGAATCAGAGAAATGTGAGAAAAAAAGCCCAACAACGTAATGAAAAGAGTTCATTGTCAAACTTTTGAAGAAAGGACTGATGTACAAAGATAATGTATAAAGCTGATACTACTTGGTGATGTTATAAAGTCTAGTTCGTATCAATATACTTATTCATGGTATGTACAGATGTACAGTATATATGAATTTCAATCATCTTAAACGATCTACCCATTTTGGGTGGGAGAGTTGATTAATCCGTCCTGTAACAAGCAATAGCAATGGCCCTTTCAATTTTCCTCTCATTCATTGAATTTGCTGCATAGGAAAATCACACAAGCTGTCTATGCAGGCAGTCTTTATAGTGAAAATTTATACAAGATGACAAAAGAAATTATTTCTAATATTTATTTTCTTAAATGTATAACTATGAATCATTTCAACTTGCTTTACTCTTGTATATATATGTATATCTGTTGGTAAAAAGTTGTGAAAACTTTCTATACAGCCTACATATTAGAAAAGTTTGTCTCATCAGTTATTAAATAAATGTCAAAAACAAATGTATCTCTGGTTTATAGGAAAACTGGTATATTATTACCTGAAAAAAATACCTAAAACTTTATTTTGTTGTAAACAATTTCATTAAAAAGTTCTGCATATAGCAACATGATGTGACTGTCTAAAATTTCCCTAAGAACATATAAGGCCAATGATTGTCATGTGTCCACGGGAAATGCCAAACATAAAGAGAAGGATGTGTTGCCATGGAAGCTATAAAACGACTTTTGTTTAACATAAGTCCCATAAAATGGAGACTCGAGCAAAAAGCCTTCGATTCTGAAGGGCGTACAACATTATTTGTCCCTAACATCAACACTTCCTCTTGAGCCCTGCACAGGATTAACAAACATCCCTGTAATATCATGGATGTGTGATAGTACAGGCCTTTCACAATTAATGAAAGCAAGTTATGAATCATCTTCCCGTATTGCACTTTATTGGTGGAAACATCCTAAAAAACTAGAATCTTCATCAGTCAGGGTTCAAGTTGTCCTGACATAAAAGTGTCTCCACAACGTCTTCAGGCTGCGAGAGCTGTGTGCTTCCTACAATCACCTGTTGAAACAATAATGAAGATTTCTCAACATACGTCAACCATTACAATACGTCTTAAGATGAATTTAGTTTAATAATAAATTTCCAACACTCAAAATGAAACATATCTACTAGGAGGATTCAGAAATTAGTCCACTAGAAACATCACATGAATTTGAAATATGAATTATATACTTATTCCAGTATTTAAAGCAAGGTAGCTTTTGATTGTTTAATGTTTCTAGTCAAAACTAATATCTGCATGTATTAAAAGGAATCCCTGTATCAGTTGTAACGCAATTTTTACAGCAAAATAATAATTATACAGTTGCAGAATGTCTTAATACCTTAGTACTTCAACAAGATAACGCAAAACTGCTTTTCAATTAAAAAACAATTTCTAAGAAAATTTAGAAAACAAGCTGCCATTTTTCTGTTATCCTGATTCCATAGTACGTTTTACCTGTGTATCACTGTGATGAGAGGCGACTGTCTCTCTGATCATCTTTGCTTCTGTTGCTGTGATGCCGCCAAGGACAAACACGATCAGCATCTTGTTATCACTAGGCTTTGGTTTTGCCACAGTTCGAAATAGTCTGAAATCAAGATTATCAATACATCAGGGGCTAAAAACAACATGAAAATACTAACATGTCACCACAATTATAATCCAAACTCAAATTCAATAAAACTTGCATAGGCAAACTATGAACAAAAGAAAGATTTACACACAGACTCCTGAAAAAGTACAAGAATGAGACCTATTGTTCCAGAAGGGTAGGGTTTTGTTTGATATTGCTCGATAAACTATACTAAAAGGATAAAGAACGCAGGGTGAACTTTAAACCAGAAATTAAGTATGATATCGGGCTTCATTTAAAACGAAATTTTGTATACTTTCAGATAAATTAAAGCTTAAAAATTTCCAAAGTCTGTATTTTGCATCTGACAATTGGTTTAGAGGTACTAACGATTAAATTGAATGGACCCTAAGATTTTGAAATTGAAATTAAACTGAGTCATCAATATCTTGTGTGTCCGCTGTTTGCTGTGGTCACAGCCCTTATTCTTCTGGTCATAGAGTTCATGAGAGCGTTAATCCGTCTTATGGGGATGTTGTCCCACTCTTCAATCAGAACTCTGGTCAACTGCTCTAGAGCAGCAGGGGGTGGCTGGCGCTTTCGAACCTGTCTATCCAACTGGTCCCAAAGATGCTCGATAGGGGACAAATCAGGGCTATATGGCGGCCAATCTAGTGGTTGAATGTTGTTGTTGGCCAGAAAGACTTGGCAAATCCTTGCTACGTGGGGCCTAGTATTATCCTGCTGAAGGGTTAGATTATGCTGCTGTAAGAAAGGGATAACATGGGGTCGGAGGATCTCATCTTTATACTTAGCTGCTGTTAAATTGCCATCAATAACAACCAATTGTGATTTTAACCTGTGTGAGATTCCTCCCCACACCATTACTGAACCGCCCCCAAACCTATCCCTCTCTACAACACAAGCGTCCATAAAACGTTCGCCATGACGTCGGTAGACACATTGACGGCCGTCAGATCGATAAAGACAGAATCGAGACTCGTCGATGAAGAAAACTTGTCAACACTGGAAACCGTCGTGGAGCATGTGCAGCAACCCTGACGTAGAGCAGGGGTAAGCTGTGGACCTACGTAGAGGCGACGTGCTCTTACACCAACTTCTCGTAATCGATTCCTTACAGTTTTTTAACTTATAGGATGCCCATGATTTCCACGAACATTAAGTGCACTCTCAACGGCAGTAAGGTGCCGATTACGCACATGAGAGACGACGATATAGCGATCCTGGCGTCGTGACGTTACGCGCGGACGTCATGACCTAGGTCGATTGGCCAATCACCCAGTTTCCCGAAGACGTCTTACAAGACGTTCTATGGTGGAAACATTAACACCAAAGTGCCTAGCAACCTGATTTTGCAGCTGTCCTTGCATCAGCACCTGAATGGCCTGACCCCTCTGAACTTCTGTGAGTCGTGCCATTCTTAAAATGAATCAAATTCTCAATTAATTTTAGGGAATCAGTTGGTCTGTATAAAGACTAACGAAGAGTGACTTGACCAACGCTGCATGAGACCAGAACAACACGGTGCACGAGATTCTTGTTTTTTCCTTCCTCCATTTACCAGAGCTGCACACTGTACCGTGACTAAATTTTCGATACATGACAAGGTGTAATATGACCTAATTACTCAATCCACAAAGTTTCACTTTATTTGGAGAACGCGTTTTTTCAAAATATCGGAATAAATATTACCCTGCGTTTCTTTATCCTTTCAGTATATAAACAATATGGTCATTTAAGGACAGAAAAGTGAATTCAATGTTCATACAAAAGAGAAGACAAAGTCTATCTCTTTGACTCTGATAAAACAGAAATACTAATAATTATAAACTTCAAGATTAAACGAAAATTGCCCACATTTTATTTGAATAATTTCTCACTACATTTAAATAGGCAGAATTTGTTTAAATACATTCCTTAAATTGATTTAATGACTGCTGTTATGACTTTTTAGCACATTGTATCAATGGATTTACAACCAGCATGTGCAGAGCATAGAGATACCTGTCACATAAATGAGTCGGAAAATCTTATTGTATTGAATACACAATTCACTTAGCTATGTATGTAATAAAAAACTTTCAATTAAATGTATGCTCTACTCACTTAAACATGCATATTTTTTATTTCAAATTATTAGAAAATTCTTACCCAAAACCTGATTTTAAAAGATCTGTGAATCCACTAGATATGTATTCAATATCTTGAACGTCTCCTTTTGTACTGTCAAATGTTAAATCCATGAGCTGTTTTAGCAATGGCTTGCCTTTAGCTGGACTTAGAGTTGTACTAGGTTCAACAACACAACTAAAAAAATAGAAGTTATAGGTTAATCTCCAATAAGCTGTTATCAACTCTCTTTAAGGTGCATTCATGCATATTTATAAATTGATGTAAAATTTTGAGAAATGTTATCTATACAATGATATGATGTTGCTAAGAAAAGAAAATCTTGTAAATATACATACCTCATATGTTTTAAATGTTGTCTGGCTGTGCTCACAGCCTTTAGTTTATCAAACATGTCATCTAGTATGGCAGACACTATCTCCTCTGTCACCAAGTCTCCCACTGGCCAAACAAGTTATTATAATAAGTTTTTTTTTGTCAGCAGTGCTCCAGATAGCCTGCGTGAATGCGTTTTCACGCACAATATTTCTAATTTCACGCTAGGAAAAAAATAAGATTTGCGTCATTAACCCGTGCGAAATCCGGACTCTGCGTCAATGTCCAGCTCCAATATTTAATTAGAAAACTCAATAATCTAAGTCAAACAGACACTTATCAAGTTTAACAAGCGCTTTCTTGATCGTGATTATAAACCATCGCATAGCAAATATGGCGCTGTCAAAAATGTTTACAAGTTCAGTGTTACCCTAATATGGAAAAACCCATACACTTGATGAAGGCAGGGGTGAAAAAACCCCTCAATTTATAAAGGTAGGAGTGAAAACCCCACATGTCAAAAAGTTATCTGGAGCACTGTGTCAGTGTCTAATTTTCAACATATTTACAAGATTGCATGGTGCATATTTAATTGGCGAAGTTTACTTTAGAATTAATTACATTAAATATTTTCCTTCCTACTCACATGACCAGAAAATAGATATTTTGGTTTAGACAATAGCTGGGGAAATTTGTGTGCCGCAAAATAAACCTGTTATCTGGTAACGAGAAATCTAAACTCCTATGTCTATATTATTCGGTGTAGAAAGACATAATTTTACCCTTTTTTATCTAATAGTTTGTTACTATTTTAACTCTCACTTCACTTAACATCATTTTTTTCTTGCTTTATCAAAGATGTGACATTAATATATAGATATCACATCAGTATATAAACAAAAATGTAACTGAAATCACTGTATTATCTCAACTAGGAAAACCCAGAAACAAATTTCAGATTCCATGGCATATATATAGAACCATGCATGTGGTTGAATTTATCTTTATCAATCAATAGCTGATTATCACTTACCCAGCATCTTTGTCAATTTGGGTAGATCATCTTTTCCACTCACTATTCTCTTCACCAACAATTTCTATCAAAAATGAAATGACAATGATGACATCAAACTCAGTTATTCTTGATCAAGTAAGCAAAGCATGTTGTAACTGACAAATTATCTTAATTTCCTTTGTGTATACCTGATATATATTTACCTTGATAGCTACTTCTTCATCACTGTAGCTTGCATTTTCTCCTAATAAGGAGTAGACATAAACAATTTGAGTTAACATGCTATCCAAGGATTGGCTCCTGTAAGAAAGTAATTAATATAAGTTTAATCTAAATATAGATTTAATATGTAGATAATCAAAACAAAAAGTATGTATTTATCATCATGGCAACTTTACTTTCACACTTTTTAAATTCTTATGTCCTTTATGAGATTTAACATTCCTGTTAAAGTTTTACTCATTACCTCAACTACCAATATTCAGAATCAAGCAATTGAGCTTATAATTTGTAGAACAATACCAAAATATATCACTGATCTGAAATTCTAAATTTTGCAGATGGAATCACCATTCAGATAATATCAATTGCCGCCATCATACATTGTAAACAATAAAAACAACAACAGACACATACATTTCCTGTAGTGATTTGTCCTGTGTTTTCTCTAGATGACTCAGCAGGACAGGCAATGGTCCCTGACCTTCCTCACTCCCAACACTCTGTATCATCAACTTCTCCATTGACCCCAGCAGATCAAATTCTTTACCTTTGGAACTCTTCAGACACTGACAAGTTGCCATGGCAACCTGAACAGTTTCTATGTGATTTGAGATTGCTTTATAATTTCCTCTGTATGAGAGAAGAAAATCCAATTAAGTTGTTATGAACTTCATTTCCAATTTTATTTTCATGAAAGAGAATTAAGTGAGTGTTCACAGAGATATGCTCCACATCCCTCATTAAAGCTCTTAATGAAAATTCTTTCTGCTCTCATGAGCAATTTTTTATTTTTTAACCTTAGCTACCAACAAAGTTTTTATGAGATAGAGATGTTTGTTTTACGATACAATGCAGATCTAAAATAAATATATCACAAGCAGGGGTGGGGGGACCAAAATATCTCTTAATTTTGAAAGAACACAAATCTGGACATCAAACTTTTTGTTTATCATATACATAGATAAAAAGATATCATAATGAGAATAAGTTGACTAGTAAATCATATCAGCTTACTTAAAAAGTTTGAGGGTATTATCTAGTTGCTCTGCTGTGACTCGACCCGGTTTACCAGATAACTTGAGAGGTAGCTTTTCTGTAGAGGCTGCTTCTACCAATGACCTATTGACCTCCATTAGTCCTTCCTGTTCGAAATTATCTAGACACAGTTAGCAACAGTAGTAATTCCCTGGTCACAAAATACAACTGAATCAAAATATTCATGTCAGTAAAACTTTTATCATTTAACCTGAGATTTCATCACAAGAAAATGCAGGGTATAATTTCATAATGATAAACCTATGATCAATGTTAATCATATCAAACTGATGTAAACAGACTTTCCAGATGAGAGCATTTGTTTTCACAAACATATACAGACTTTCCAGACATACAAACATATACGGTATATAGAAGTACTATCTGAGGAAGTAATCATCAAGGCTTCTTTTTATAAAAATCCTAGTATAATGTCTTTTATCATCAGTACAAGGAATAAACTTTGTTACCAGTATAACACCTATTACATAAATTTTGTTACGACCTGTAATAATACTGTACATAGCTATGATTGGATGAAGTTTCCCATTGTTTCCATTGTGATATCAATATCCCCACAGTGTCAAATGTATCTAGATTTTATATCAATGAAGGCAATGTAGTTTTCTCCCCTACTTCAAAAAATTTATGATGACTTTCATAAACCTATATGAAATCAAAAATTACATAAACTCATTTATTTATTGCATAGAACTGGTATCAGTAAAATCATGTAATAACTATGTGAACTAACTATGTGAAATCAGTTTCATACCTTTACTTTAGAGTTCAAAAGCGGCAAAAGATGTGACTGAGTTGTCTGCCCTTTACAGCCTGCCAAACTCCCAGGAGCTATAACTTCCTTGGATTCACTGCAACAAAGAAGCAAATAAAACTAAACTAATTATGTCAAAAACTAATGTACAAAATTATACATAGATCAGGTCCTTGTGAGTTCCTCTATGATGTCAACCTAACTTGTAGAGTTGAATGTTCAGTATACAAAATGCAAGTAATGATTATATTCTCCATTGTGGTAAGATCCACAAGAATATTAGACACGCCATTGTGCACTGATGATATATTTAGAACAGAAATAAAATGAAAACACCGACTAAGCTTTTATATATTAAATTCTTTAAACACAAAAATAATCTCCATGTAAATTCATGTTTTAGATTTGCATAGAAAACTAACTGACAAAATCAGCAAAGAGAGTTCAACCATAACAATGCGTGACAAGTTACTATGCAGCTATAATATGATGCAACCTACATGTTGTCAATGAAATGGATCCCCTTGAAATGTCTAGTTCCACAAGATGTTTGGTTTGGCATTGGGTAATTCTATTTACTGGCATTATTTGCTGACTTTCATGGAAATGGAAGTTTATATGGAATTGAAGATAGTAATATAAACAACATCCCTATCCACCCCACCCCCCAACAGATGGCTGGTTTTGGCAGCTTTTTGTACCAAGCTTTACGATTTGTCAGTTTTATAAGATGATGTGTTCTCTCCTTTCATAGAGGGAAGTCTGCAAAAGTGTCATATTTCACTTTAGTTATTTTTGTATTTCACAGAGAAAAATATGATAAGCTTAAATCACCAGGCAATCTATATTTCAGGTTGGAAATATTTCATTTAATCTTGAGAATATGTTTACACTAGACAAACTTATTGTTTATGAAAAGTGACATGTGAAGGGAATGGTTCTAGGAATAGTGCAAGGAACTAATCCTGATGTAAAACCAATTTGTACAAGAATGTGAAGTTTCTGGTCACAGATGTAGGGGAACAGGACTTCAACTTACATAGTGATTAAGTTTAAACCTACCTGATGACCCTACACAAGGGTGTCATGTCCACATACACATCGTTATGGTGACCAGGTAGTCGTGGTAACATGCTGGTCATTTTGTCCATCAACACTTCAGGTTGGTGTTGACATGGTGTCATTAAGTCCAGATGGCGGTCAACCAACAACAAGGAAACCTTGGTTTGTGCAGACTGAAAATATTGAGATCACAATATTCTATTAATTTGCCTATCAATGCCTGATTTTTTTGGTTTTTTTCCTGCTTACTTATGTTCAAGACCACAAATTGAGGGGAAAATGGAAGAATGAGGAACAAGAGGCCTAGCGGCCTCGATAGTCATCTGCGATCAGCAATAACAAATGTAAAGGTTAAAGGAGAAGTAAGCTTTCAAATGTCATGACAATGAAATTGTGACATTGATGATAGAAAGCAAGTGTCAATACATGCAAACCATCAAAACTGTCATCCTTCTTTCAAAATCATTTCCAATGGGAAATAAACAATGTTATGCTCAAATATGCATTTTCTCTCCCCACGGATCCGGAAAGCATTTGATTCTACCTTACCTGTTTGGTTAAGAAGAAGAATTTTGAAATCTGGGTCAATTTGCCCCCTTCTAGCCCTGCCCATCAGGCCCTGGGGTCAGCCAGAATCAAGATGAATATACAATCAAGCCACCATCCTTATCTCATAATTCTAACCAAGTTTGAATTATTTCGAATGGAAATTTAACAAATTATGCTCAAAAATCCAATGTTTCTAAATCAATTATAGTAAATTTTTCCCCTTACCATGGGGAAATGTGAGACCCTGGGGCTATGAAATTCACGAATTTGGTAAAGCAACTTAATATGCCTCCATCATTTGATTCTACCATATCTGAGTGTTGCGTAGAAGACTTTAGAATCTTGAGTCAATATGATACTTTTGACCATGCCTGTCAGGCTCATGGGGTGGGGATTGTATAATTCACTATTCTGGTCTTATGTTTCTATTTCAATAAATTGTGATTAGGAATGGACAGTTAATTAAAAACTGCACATATACTTATGTTTCTATTTTAATAAATTGTGATTAGGGGACAGTGAAATGTTACCTCAAAGTCTAGTAACCATGTACATGTACTATAATCCTGTAGACACTCAAGAATTATATCTTTATGGATATTAATTGGGGAAAAAAAGTTCTCTACAAGTCTTCAATATCATTATAATATCACATATGTCATGAAAACTCTGTTTACAAATGATGGTTGATATTAGTAAAATCAGTAGTATACATGTACCTTACGCCTGAGTTTTGCCGGCGGATAGCTAGCTAGCTCTGTAGCCAAGATCTTGCTGGTCTGACCAACAAAAAAGCAGTCTTCCTGGACATTCAGCTCTCCAAGCATGCTGTCTATACTTCCAACCAGCATCTAAAGTGTACACAAAACAAAAAAACTTGACAGTCAGTACCATAAATATGGTATCTATTGTCAGTGTATTTCTTTTGCTGACAAATTCATTTCCATTTGAATTCAAATATTACTATTATACAGATCTTCAGTGAAGTGCTTCTTCTTTCAGAACATTTGTATATTTTAAATATAATATAAATATTGACAATTGTCAGTAATCAAGTGATCATTACAGTCAAAATGCACTTTTTTATATATAAAAGTTAAAACCTACCTTATACAATATTTGTAAGGTTTTAGGCAGGTGAGCAGCTTCAACATCTTTTAAACTGGAAAATGACTTATTATCTCCCTTGAAAATAAAATAAACCTTGTTTTTACCAGCAAATAAAGAGAGTTTTGAAGAAATTAAAATCAATATTTTTCAGGTGTAGGAAACATAACCATTTACCCAATAATAATTTCATTTTAAACACAATAATCAAACATTTATCAAAACCCTAGGACGTGGAATTCTGCATACTGTGTTTCTATTTTCAAACAACAAAAAATATCCATGTGCCATCATATTTATTGACATATAAATCCATCAGAAATCAAGAGTTTGTGAGTACAGCTAACAAATTATCTAATTGGACTTACCCGTACAGACTTGTACTGCATTGAGAGTCGAGGAAGATCAGAAGACATTAGAGGGAACAGCCTACTAAAGGAGGGAGTCACAAATAGGCTTGGTGTCAGGCATGTAGCAAACAGGGGCACATGGCTGACTTCGGCAGTGTAATTCTGATATCAAATAATACAACTGAGTATTAGAACAGAGTGTTAAATCACTGTCCTAGTGATCAGGACTTGCAAAAGTAATTGTTCAATAAATAACGACACTATTCAGGTAAGTGAAATAAGTGGCCATAACTCTGTGAATTACAGGCAGAAAATTGTGGTTATCCGACTTATCCTAACTATAATGGTAATGAACCTACCTATGAAGTTTGAAGTTAATATGTTAAAAGCTGCTTGTGATATGCAACCAACACTTTCAGTAATTGAATATGGGGCTACAACTTCATGAATTACTCTTCAAAACTACAGTGGTCGAAACCTGACTGAGCTATTATTGTGATGAGCCTTCCTATGAAAGTTGAGTTGATCTGTTGACAACTACTTTAGATATCAAGTGGACACTGTTTCTGTAATTAAATACAGGGCCATCAATTTTGATCCAAAAATTGCCATTATCATCTTGTCCAAGCTTTCACTGCAATGAACCATTCTATAAAGGTTGAGTTGTTCTGTTGAAAACTACCTGGTACTCAAGTTATCAACAAGACAATGCATGTGCCCACCCTACCATCTGTTCACATGATAGCATAATACAACCTATCTTTAAAAGGGTGTATAAAAAAGTTATAACTATTCCAAGTATTTTAATACATGTAAAAGATACATTTGGCTGAAGAAGTAAATTGTTATTGATGTCTCAAAAATGCATGTCAGTTATCACTATACTAGTTAACCAATCTATTAATGTAGTCATCACATTATTTTTCCTGCAAATGTACTGAAGTATACACCAACAGACTAAATATATACCAGCAGATCAATATCCATTACCACTCTAAGAAAATTGAGCTACTATTAGATTGTCCTGCTGCGGTTTCGACCTTTGGCATAGTAAGCATAGATGGGTCTCGCGTGTTGTTTAGTGAGATAGTATCTAGGTACTACAAAGAGACCCTGCCTCAAAATGGCCTTGGCCATTAACCGATAATAACAATGTAATGCTACTCAGAATCCCAATATCACAGAAAAAATATATGATATGGAATGCCTTGTACTCTAGGCAATAAGGTTTTACAGAAAAAATCCTATATAAATAAATAACTGAAGGACAGATAGACAATCAATCTTCTAGTATCAAAAATGCACATGGCAACTTTCATTCCAGTTAGCTGTAAATGTTGTATTTCATCATTTTGGTGTGTATTGGTGACATTTGCACCATCTGTTTTATGCATTTTGCACTGTACATATTTTTGACAAACTGTTCATTAAATCTGTTAATGATGTTCCTTTTTATTATCTCTTTATTCTATCATCATACCATATTTCCCATCCACTCTAGGATGCTTTCTTCAAATCGTTCAAAGATCACATTTTCGTCTCCATCACAAGATCCTGTTCGGCTGAACATGTGGACACATGGGCTAACTGTAGTAATGACAACAACATACTGGAGCTTACTGGCCTCAATAATATTCTGAATCACTCGGCTTGTGACTTCCTGTAGCATTGAGCTCACAATGAATACTGCCTTCTTGCATGTGTGATCAACACTCTGAAAAAGAAATGTAAAAGAAATTAAACAAACATTTCTGTTCTGCATTAATAGATAATTTACTCAAATTAATATTGCACTATCTTCAGTTTCATTAGCTCTATAGGTCATACTGCTTTGAAAGCAATGAATAAGATGTGAAAATTATACTGGAAGTAATTCACTCATTAAAATCAGATGCGATAAAAAAGATCTCAACATTTGTTTTTCTAATTCTTTTTGAAAAAAGGATCAAACTACAAAATAATTTCTTCAGTTTTCTTTTCAACATTTCACCTACTTATCACATAATTAGATATATATGTCTTTCTCACAAACCTCAAATGATGAAAATTCCTTGACATTGATGGCACCAGCTTCCAACATAAGTGTAAGACCTCCATTCCAATGTAGGTTTTCAGCGACCACATCATCTGTAAAAACTACTGCCCTATTCACCTTCTGACATATCTTCTGCCATAAGGAAAGGGAACACTGGTGTAAAGACCTCATCATGAAAGCTAGAATTTAAAAAAAGATGAACATAAATAGTTCACATTCAGATAAGTTAAATTTTACTTGCAATTAGTTGCCCTAATGACTAAGTTACCACTGGGTGATCCAATCTAAAATTCATGATCATGTACATGTAGGTAACAAAATATAACATACATTGTATATAAACTGCAACAAAATATTACAATTACAAAATGTATATTCTGACATCCACTTAGAATGTAGTAGAGCTTATAATCTTGTGCTATACAAAATGTAACTTAGCACATTACATGGTTAGGTTTTGAGTTTCTGATTTGCTATCGTAATTATAAGTGGGTTTCCCTGTCAAGTAACAGCAATACGGGTAACCAACTGTGATTCAATATAATGTGTAAAATATACTTAATGAAGTAATGGGGTACACAATGACTTTTGTAGGTTTTTAAGGGGAGCTCAGAACACCAATTCCAAAATATTGAGGAGTCCTAACACAAAAAGATATAATGGGTTCTCAAAATTTAACGGGAATCCCACAGAAAAATTAAGAGTGTGGCTTAAATGTATGAGTCTCAAAAATGACTTGTACACAAACCTGGGTTCTACATGCATTTAACATTCCCTAGGATGTTATGTAACTTCCAGGCTAAGCAAAGGGTATTGCAAAATGTTGCAGAAATTATCTGAATTAATCACGGTAATCTGCCAGTTCTGTAGTCAATTTTTCTTAAGTCTAAAAGATTCTGATTGAAAATATAAAATATTTTTTGTATCATGGTGTGACATCTAGCTGATATTCGAAAGGTTGATATCTCTTTATGTATTAGCAGGGACGTATAATCTGTATTATACGTCCCTGGTATCAGCATTACTGTAATTATTGACAAAATAGTGACTTGATTACATTTGGCAAAGTATGTTTGGACATTTTTTAATGTCCCCTAAACTGATCACATGTTGTAATTACAAGCTGCGTGATATACGCTTGCTTACTCACGTGCGACAATAACCTATTATCTTCACATCAAATACATCAGCTGAGCAACATATCTCCTAGTAATGTCGAATACATCTGTCTGCTACGTTCACCGGAAGTTGAACTAATCTTGCTTGTCCGAAACTCCTCGGATTTTTTAAATATCTTTTGGTAGAAGGACAAGAGATGTTCCTAATGTTTGGAGAACTCTTTAGTTTCAGTATTTGAGAGAAAAGTCCGCGGAAACACGAATGATTTGGCAAGCATCACCGATACATCCTTTTCATGTGCAATCATCGACCTGTAGTTTGCATATCGGTTTTAGTAACTTGATTATGAATGTAAAGTTGAAAGCATCGTTGAAATTTAAGGCGGCTGATTTGATAAAGATTACCGTCACGACCATTTAAAGTTGATGAGATAAACAAATAAACAAGGTAATCTATCTAGCATTGATATCCGGTATCTTGAAAGAGACTTATCAGCTGATCATTGGCTTTCTGTTGAAAGAGACACATACATGAGACGATGGGATGGTTAAGACACTTCAGTGTGATTTTCTTTGCTGTCGTCTTTTATAAGATATACACGTATTTTAGGGGGACTTCATTGCCACCGGTTGTTGAAGGCAATTTTCATCCAGATTTCAGAGAGGTTGCCAATGTGTTCAGGTAATGATTACAGCCAAGGTTAACTGATAATTTGCATATACTTCCTATGATGTACTTATGTTGTAGATAACTTAATCTTCAGTTCATATGCACCTGATTGCCCAATGCATATACTTGTACATGTATGAGTGTAAAAAGGTGTATGCTTCAGCTGGTGAGCGGAAAATTGAGACGATCAGGATTTATGTTACAGCTTTAAAAATCATCTATATCATGTTATACTTTAATAAATTCTGATAAACACATACAAAAATAGCATTTTATAAATTCTGCAGTATTTGCTGTCAACATTCTTTTAAAATCCACAGAAAGCTTGTGGAGGATGGAAGTGAAAAGGGGGCGTCATTTGCCGTCTACTACCGTGGGAAGCCAGTGGTAGACATGTGGGGTGGATATGTTGACTTAGAGTCAGAGCAAAGATGGAGAGAGGACACAATGACATTGGTCTTTTCTTGTACCAAAGGAGTAGCTGCCATTGTAGCAGCAAAGCTTGCTGACAGGTTGAACATTTTATTTATTTCCTTAGCAGTTTATTGTTTCCTGTACATATACTAAGGATACTTCATTTTATTAAAATATTTCTCTATATTTATATCTAATTTTCACATCTAAATTTATATTGAAATTCATTTGACATTGTTAAAGATAAAAATACTTGTCTAGGGTTAATATAAACATTACCTATAGAGTAGAGATAGCTACAGGCTAAAATCAATTAGATAATTCTGTCTGGAACATCAGGCTAATAAAGCCAATTAAATAATGCTGACCAGAACATGTCTAGAACATGCATTACACATTCTTGACCTCTCTCTTGTTATACAAGACAATCCATATCAGATGGACATGCCATCCTTATATGTATAAACTGTCGGGAGTAATGTGTGTAATCTGACATCGGCCATGTTGGTATTCCTCTGTATAAGAGATGTGAGATACATGTACAATTTGATGTTGTTAAGAAGTGTATATAAAGGCTGGTTTCGTCCCATTCAGGGTCAGTTCCTAAGCCAGCATAACTAGCATTTACCATCTTGCTGTATGTGAGGCATAATAAAACTGAACAACACATTTCTGTGACTGGACTCGTCTCTTCACTACAACATCAAGTTATTTACTTAAACATACTTTAACATAAGTCCGTCTTATGTTAATGGAAGTTATGATGAATCTCTCATGTTTATTTTTTTTTCTTATTTTAGAGGATTCCTTGATTATAAGAAATTGGTGTCACATTATTGGCCTGGATTTGGTAAAAATGGAAAAGAGAATATCACGGTTGAAATGCTTCTGAGTCATCAGGTAAAATGAGAGTAGAGTAGAATGAGGATGTTATACCTCTGCAATTTTCCCCATGAAGGGCACCATGTTTAGTCTGTCTGTCCAATAACATTTTAAATCAGTGACATACATAGAGAGCCCCTGAAGAGATTTGCTTTATGTTTACTCCATATTGTCATCACATCACATCCTACACATGATTGGATTCTGGTTTGTTTAATTGCAATAGGGCCTACATGTCTTAATGTTTTCTGATTTTATGCCCAACATATACATGCATATGTAGATACACTTTTATTAATCAACTTTAAGAGAATGCAAACAGTTAAATGGATTCAATTGATTTATCAAATTTGGTAAGAGTGTTTCATCTTCTTATTTAATTTCTACATTAGGCAGGCCTTGTTACAACCAATGAGACTGTTCCATTACATTGGTTATTAACAGACCCTGATAGGTTGGAACAATTCCTAGAAAACCAAACACCAACCATTGAACCAGGTATGTAAGTCAATATTAAGCATATCTTAGTTGTCTTCAGTGTTCATTCTAGCCACTGTATTCTTGTATCATCTTTTACATAGTATCAGCATCTTTAGAGCTGTTTCTCTTAACTAGCAAATGAGTTTTCAGACATGTGTCTCCTTGTGTTAACAGATTTAGATGTCTTATAGATTGTTCTTGACATGTTTATTTACATCAGAAAATGGGATCAAGTTATATGAAGTTGTGTAAAGTTTTGGATTATATGTTTGTAGTTACATTGTAATTAAATTCTGTTTTTTATAGTAATCTATGGCATTTTGTTAAGCTTCCTGATACACATTTGTTTTGTAGGCTTGGGAGTTATCTACCATGCTATCACCTATGGTTTGTACTTGGACCGTTTGCTGCCTAAAATTGATCCCAAAGGTCGGTCAGTGAAACAAATGTTTGAAGAAGATTTTGCAAACAAGTTCAGTAAGTATGACCAAGCTAACAATATGCTTATGAAAAGTTCAAATTCAGGTACACTCAGCAATCTGAAGCTAGAAGTCACAGCCAGGAAGGAACAGTAATGGCCAGATTTTTAGAATAGATAAAGTCTAGATAAAGCAGCTTTAAGCAACAATCGTTTAAAGGAAAATGCTAGAACAGAATGTTAAGGATAATGTCATCCTCGATATTCAAGGGGTTACAATCACTTTTGCTCTTTGCACGCCAGGAACATTTCATTGGAAAATTGAAGGCACAAATGAAGTAATTTGATTGGTTCCAGAAGAAGAAAATTGACCAATCACAGGCTGATACATTCATTTTGAAGATTACAAAGTAGCAACACCCAAAGCACTTACAATATACCGTTATGCAACCTCAAGATTTGTTCAATGTACATCTAAGGATCAAACTAGTCTTTTTGTCTTGTCCACAAGGTGTTGTGCATGGAACCTTCAATTTTGCCAGGGATACAGAGAGCGAAAGTGATTGTAATTCCTTGAGTATCATAATGTGGACAATGAACAGTTATGGCAGGTTGTACTTTATCTTAAGGGCAAAAGTGGGAGGATGGGATGCCTGTTGTTTTGGAGTGGAGTGGGGTTTGGGAGGGTGAAGAAATGTTGGGTTGAAATGAAAAATTGAAAACATTTCTTCAAACATTGTCAAATTAATATCATCATTGTTAGTCAGTTAATTTTTACATTAAAACATTACATATAAAATGTGATTTTTGGTTTGAAGAAAGATTCATATTTTATGTGATATGTTATCATTATAATTACAGATATAGACTTTTCTATTGGATCAACCCAATCTGATGACTATCGGTTTGCTCCTTTCACATCACTTGATGTCAGTAACTTGATATTCAGGTTTCTTACCAAACCATCTTACTGGGATGTGTTACTTAATATGGCCTGGCCAAACTCCCTAGTACTGACAGCAATGACTGCCATAAAGGAGACTGAAAAGGTTCGTTGTATGTCAGCATTTCTATATTTTTGATATTGAAGATAGCCTCTTGTAGTTCCATGTAGATCAGCTCAACTTGTACAGTAAATTTTGGCAACCTGTTCCTGTATCAGAAGGAAGTCTGATTGCTACTTTATATATTTGGTTTCAGTAGATCATACCGTATAAACTGTTTCATAACAAACAGTAAAATTACAATACCATGCTTTTCTATGAATAATGTGGTTTGGTGTACATGACCAGTAGAATTTGACCATTTGTACAATGTACTCTGTACAAAAATTAACAACTCTCTTAATCTTCATTAAAAATGTAACACTCATGATGAACAGTTTGATATCTTCCTAAACAAAATAACATGTTCTGGTAAGCCCTGTGAGAGCAAAACCACTGTATTGTACAATTTAATTGTTTGGCTTTACTGTATTTAATTCTAAATTTGTATTGCAAATTGATTTTCAAATGTGTATCTTTTGTAAAATCTTCAAAATAAGCTCTCTCTGTAAGCTTTTAAGTAATTGAAGGTGCGTGCATTTTACACTCTGAGGATTTATGCAAGAATTGAATAGAATGATTAAGAAAACAATTTAGCTTTGATATAAAAGTTGTACAGCTCAGTCTCTTTGTCCTATAGATTGCGATGTTTAGAAATCCAGAGATTCGGCAGGTCCCTCTAGTGTCCACTATGGGTCATGGTAATGCCCGTTCACTAGCCAAACTGTACGGAATTCTCGCTAATGGTGGGCAGATGGATGGAAAGCAAATGTTATCACAAGACATGATCAACATCCTGAATAAACCAGTGGTGGATAAACTCAGTCTGGATTTATACAGACCTGTAACATATGGACTTGGTGTCATATTCTTTGGCAATCCACAGGTAACAATCCCTCTGAATTTGTAGCATATACATGTACTGAGCTAATACTGAATTGTATTGGATGTTCTCCATGTCCAAGTGAATTAAAACAATGAAAATTTTATGGAAGACCCCCAGTGAAAGAAGAAATTATTTGCTAAACAAAGTATGCAGTGTAATGTAGTGTAAAAATTAAATGATGCACCAAATATCCCTGATCAAAAGATATATGAATTACAGTTCGGGCTAAGGTATTATTAACTTGTATTCATCAAATAAAGTCAATGGAGTGGATGTTAACAGAAATCTATATTTTAACGTTTTAAATCAAGATGGTCAGGTTTTCAAATCATTTATTGGTCATTTCATGTTGTCTGGAAGCCATTATCTTGCACTTGTTATAGATATTTAGTATTCTCAAGAAGAGTTGGTTGGATCTCTCTCATATTTCATCTGTAATTTCCACTTAATTCCTAGGTAGTTGTCCATGATAATTTTGAGAGATGATTAGAAGGGGATCATTCCTGATACAGATATTTGAAATTTATTACCCAATCCATTACTCAAGAAGTACATTGTGATGTCGCTAGAGATATTACAGTCTATGACTTGTTAATCACTGAAATAGATTAGAGAGTGGAATTAGCTGGTCATCATGCAGTTTCAGAGTTTGTTAATATGTGTTGAAAGTACTGACACTACCAGGGCAATCATAGTTAGGATGACTTAATAGGATTAATAGGATAATGACTCAAGGAACTTAAAGAATCCATGTTGACAGCCTTGAGCTAGCCAAGTCTTCTTGTCAATTGTCAAAACAAAATCTACATATTTAATTGTGTTTGTTGGCAGAGGACATCAGTTTATATATATGAATATATGAATAGTGAAATATCCTCTACAAAATATAGAGTGTCCATGTTTTATGTTAATTGCCATCTTATGTCATTCTCACCATTTCTTACTGCTTTTCTCATCACCCAATCCATAACAACAAAAAATGTAAATAAGACGACTTTCCATTCCTTAGATTTTTAAAAGCCTCCCACACTTCTATTGATGGTATGGCCACTGAAATGCCCTCTGATACTTCCTCTAGTTCCATATCATCATCTTCTGTGACAGGATTTTGTGGTTCCTCTCTAATCAGGACCTCATTGAAGTGGTCTGTCCATCTCAATAAGACCTCTGTTTTCCACCTGATTAAATGGCCATTTTTGCATAGTGCTGCTACACTCTGTCTAGGTGTTTCATTGCAAAATGTTTTAATGTGTTTTTATATGTTGACCTCTTGCTGCCTCCTCGGCATCACATGCAATGTTGTCTATGCATTACTTCTTGACTGTTTTCAAACTTCATTCCCTGTCCCCATCCTTGTACTTCTCCCTTAAGTGTCTTATAACTCTCTCTGAGTGTGTACAAAGGATTTTCTTGTTGATCTCCTCTCTTCTATCTGCCCGTTTCCTTGAGACCACACTGATCCATGATTTCTTCTTCTTCCTCCTCGGTCTGCCCAGTACTTCTTTCTGCAGTCTCTATATGCCTTTTGAATCACTCTCAATTTCCTCTCAACTTCTTCTTCCTCTCCCAGATCCTGCTCCCAATTCTTCAATATCTGAAACCTGTTTCTTATAGCGATGTTTAAATTCCTCGTTGTATATGAATCCTACATTTTCTCAATACTTTACCCTTTCACATTTTTTCTCTTTGAACTGCAACTTTAGTCTCACTTTCACTGTTGTGCATACTAGTTGATGGTCAGTTCCCACATACTAGCACCTTATTAAATGTATCATACCTTGTCCCATCACACGAGGATATCAGCAACAAAGAAAGTAATATAATTTGTTCATTAAATTCAACATTAAGATTAAAAGAACCAGTAAAATAAATGATAAAATAGGATAGATGCATTCCATAGACCACACCTAACTAAACTCACTTCAGATGTGTTCTGAAAATTTGTCTTCTAGCTGTTTTTTCAAATGATGTGCAAATTAACACTTTTAGTTTAAAGATTAGTTAGTTGTAAATACATTTTTATTACTGTTTTACTGGGATTTTTTTTTTAAATGAACAAAAATTATCTTTTATTGACATTTTATTTCCAGGGTGGAAAGGTGTTTGGACACACTGGTTTTGGTGGACAGATGGCAAATGCAGACTTAAAGAACCACCTAAGTGTTGCCTACATTACAAATCATCTGTCAGAATATGCATTCGGAGATGATCCCAAGTATTTAGCTTTACAAAAAGCCACTTACAATTGTCTCGAGAAACATTCCAAAAGATATTCTAATTAAAGATTGAAATCTTTATTTTGATTTCGCATTTGTTTTCAAAAGTAGCCAGAGTGGAAACTAAAGAAATTAAGTTTGCTTTACACCCGTTCTTCAAACTCAGGGCCATTGACCGCTCAATTACAGAGTTACTGCCCTTTGTTAGAATTTCATGCATAACTATGCTGACAGTTAAACTTTGATAACAAAACTTAGTGTATACATTAATCACCCTAACAGTAATTGCCCTTTGTTTAAATATTATGTCTACAGAACAAATTAAAATTACTTGCTTTTAAACTACAATAGTGAAACTAAGGATACATCGACAACACTGATACGATGTGCAGTGTACCAAATTCAGGTCCCTTTATCCCTCATTTACAGAGTCATTTCCCTTTGTTAAAAATTCTTGTCCAGCGTATTGTTTGCTTGCATTTAAGAAAATGAATCTTTGTGTATAAATTGATTAAGCGAAGGCAATGTCTAGTCTACCATTGTAAAGACCTGCAACACCTTAATTACAGTCAGGGCCCATGTCCCCTCAGTACAGTTATAGCCCTTTGTTAAAATTTTGTATTATGAGCATACTTTTGCTTGCATTCAAACTAGGATCACTGTGTAGTTTACCAAATTTAGCGCCAGCAACCCCTTAATTATAGAATAATAGACCATTCTTGAAATATTGTGTCCTATAAAATTCAGGGAGCATTCATCAGTTTCACTAATACACTTGTTATGATGGCATTGGGAAGTGCTGTCTCCACCTAATGGGGCCTGAACTTAATGTTGTCACATTAATCATAAGGTAAATGGATAGTCCATTGGTAAACAATTCATATTATTTATGTCTGATGCAAGTTATGTAATCGTAGAAATGTCTCGATGGACACTGTGCATAGTAAGATATTTGTTGACAAACATTTGATGATTCATAATCCATTAAAATGGTCGCCAATCGGTTGCCATGGTGACCAAATGAAGGCCACGTGGAGGAATCTCGTTGGGACACTCCCTCCGAAGCTATAGTAGATTGGGTAGCGGGTAGTATTAGCCACTCATTCTGGCGACAGTTCTAGATCATATTGGCAAGCACGAAACTAAGAGTGAGTAAAAGTTTTCTCTGATGATAAGATGCTCCTACCTCATCCAAGAGGATGTGATTGGTTATTTTTCTCTTAACTTCCTGTCTTTTATATTTTGTTGTCTCAAAGCCTGACTTTGTTGGTGCGACATAATTCATTGGTGTAGTATGCACATATACTTTAACTATGAAATGTATGAACATTTCGAATTTCATTGAGTTATGGGGCTAGTGCAGATTCCCATCTAAAGTTAACAATTCTTCAGATGATTTTTTGTTTTCCTCAGTCACCTCCTATGCTTTGAAATCACTCCAGAAATTATAGGCGTAATAATTTTATATTGATACGAAATTCTATGAATTTATTGCATTGAAGATGATAAACCTGCTGGTTATTTGTTGAAAAAAGACCTTGTGAAATCTTTCAATTTTACTATTAGATATATTGATATGTCTTCTATTTACATTATATGAGATTTATCGACAATTTCCATCTACATACTCACCGGAGATGGAAATCAAGGACTCAACAAGGCTTCTACATCATTGATTTACCTAGATCTTTTCCTACAACAACTTTCCCTTTCTGGATAGCTTATTCATTGCATCTCCACCATTCTTTTGTTGTTGAAATGTCGCAATTTATCCGATATTCAAGCATTTGTTCACGAAATTAGAATTTTCGTGTCAAACAAGCGTTATATTGATTGTTCGGTCGGATAAGTCTTTAAAATTTATAAAGAAATCAATAAAAAGATTCCCTGGTCTGAAAAAGTAAAAATGGATAACTATTAACACCACAGATACACGTGTATGTAAGACATTTACTCTAACAATACAGAAAAGAAAATCATTTAAGGCCAAGAGTGTACTGTCGAGTCTGGATATCTGTTACAAACAGAAAGTAGAAACGTCAATTGATTATCTACTTCGACAGCATCTGGATCCCTTATCAATTGGGGTATTGCTGAGGAGTTCGACACGATAAATTTATAAATTTAAAGAAACTTTTTAAATATTACAACTGCGATACAGTTACACTGTCAACAACACGTATGTGATCACATAGTGACGTCATAAAAATGATAGCAATACACTTTACGAAACCCTAATCAACTCGAGTAACGATTGACAGGAGATAAGATGCGGTCTGAGAGAGATTTAACATCCATGTCGCATTCCATCATAGCTAATAGAAGCTTTTCTACGGTTGCCTTGGAACCTTCATTCCGGATCCACAGCTCCAGGAGAGCTATCATTCTGTCTCCGACCATTTGGTAATCAACATCGAATCTATCAATGTCCTTGTAATCCATGCCAAGGTCAAGGAACAGATTGTAGTAGGACTTAGCACTAATACATTTGGCAATAGAAGCCTTGTTGAAATTTGAGATTGGTGTTTTCAATACTTCCTTGGATAAATCCAAACCTGAAACAGGAAATATAACTTTTTTTCTAGTTTGTATATGTCTTGCATTAATGGATACGAAACAAAGATGATATCAACAGTTTACAAAGAATGCGATTCTGGTTAAAACAATTTGTGAAAATAATTAGTCATATTGCGATAAAAGAAAAAAAATGAAAATGAATCTAATTAGTATATCAAAAAAGATTAGCATTGTCTATCCACTTAAAGTTTCGGAGAAAAATCTGCATTATTTAGTATTTTTGTATCTTTCACCTTAAAGCTGACATTTGTTGTTGCGTTTTAAATCGTTGCCAAATATATGAAAGACGTGCCCGTAAAAAAACACTTATTATATTAATTTAGTTAAAAGATAACGTATATGCCAGCACAAGAATTATGAAACGGCATAAAGTCAGTTTTAAGCAATCGTTAGTAGTTCAAAGAGCCTTGTGTGTTGAAATCTAGGGCCTACTTAGAATTACCAGAAAAGATTGATAGATCTATCCACATTTAACAATCATCAACTTGATAAATTTAGCATATTTGGACGTCAATTACATCTTGATGTTTTGAAATAAGTTCATATGAATCTATACGGTGTCAACAAAAAAGCGAGCGCAATTTGATCAATGAACTACACATTAATATACAGTTCAAATAAATATGATATATGTCTACAGCATTTCGAACTGTCTGTTTCTCATTACTACAGCGGTGTTCGTGCCATTCAAACGTGACTTCAATAACAAATGCACACTTCTATTTTTTCTGTTATATGCAGTCAATATGCTATATAAATGGAGCGTTATTTATGCGAAAAATGCAGTACGGCGAGAGAGAAATTCTCTGAAGCAGGAGTTTTTGATCGGAAATCAATAGAAAAGGAAATGAGCTGATCTCTTACTTTACTTTTTGAAATCTTATTTATCAGGATTGTTTGCAACGGTCTTCTCAAACAATATATCGATATTTTGGTTAAGTTTCTTTAAATTAGAACGTTACCCTTTTCAACCTTGAAGTTTAATTTTAACTAATTATGTCGGATATTCATAGTCCGTTCTTTGACGAAAAATCAAGCGAAACAACTTTTCCAAGGTGGAATACACAACACTTTATTTGCTGTGTTAAGCACTATGACTATCCACTCAATACCTTTAAGCTCTCATTGTTAAATGAAATTACCTTTCAAAACCTCGACACAGTTTGTGTCTAAACTCGCTAATAGACTCGCATAAGGCATACCATGCTTTTGCATGGCGTCCACGATTTGAGGGAAACCGATGTCAAGTCTTGTATTCAAAACATGCAGAAACGTCTTTGTGATGCTGGTGCGAAAGGCGAGATTGCGTGTCTCTTCCATGATTTGGTCCAATACATGGACAGAAACGTTGAGCTCAACGAAAAACACTTGATATCCCCTTCCACTGATCAGTTTGGCAATCCGCCCAATCTCCTTCGGCGACGGTTTTCTTTCAGGGAGGGCGTGTACTAAGATTTCAGCTATAAACATTTCAAACATAACGGGTGGTCAATTAGATATATAATACTGGTTCCTTAATGGTTTGGAGTTGTTTACTATTACTATTATTCTTCATTTTCTTAAATACAAGCAATTGTTTCTATCAAAGTCATGTTTTAGACTAAAAAAAGAATTCTTACCGGTGTCGGGTTGGCGTTTTCTGCGCTGAAGGATAAAATAAGTATATAAGCACATTACATTGGATAACAATTATGTTTTCATTGCATCACGCGACATAGCGGCAAAATATTTACCTTGAAACAGCAATGTGGTCAAGCCTTATTGCACAAAATTCAGTAATAATTATGTTATTTCTTACCGTCCCAGTTTTAAAAAACCAGAAGTTGTAGTCTTCAAGAGATATCCATCCTCTACCACTTGCTCCAAGGCACTGCAAGCTAGACGCTTTTAGAAGATTTTCAATTTCTACCATCTTTTCGTCAGGTAAAAATCGGTAGTCATTATGCAAGCAAAATTTATAAGTAAGATGAGTTTGCCGATTCATTTCTAGTACCTTCCGAAGAAAGTATTCGAGAATATTTCTGATATTTATACCAATTTCTTGATCCAAGCTGTGGTTTTTGTCTCGTTTGAACATTATGACTTTCATCGCGTTTCCCCTACAGTTTAGGATGATGTTCCACATGTAGTCCACTGCTAGGCAGACGAACCTTCTGCGTACAAATAAAGACTGATCTTGTATCGGTTCGTCCATGCAATGGAACCTGTGGATACATGTGGCGATAAGTTTATCCCAAATGGCGTGTGGGATATATTCCTGTTCAAATCTGAAGCACAGAGCAGGTGACATGATTATGTCGGGTTCAGTTAATAGCGGTTGTAATGATTCAGGATCTGCTTCCTGCAGCATGCACGGAACAACATAGTAATCAATGCATCCATCGTCCAATATTGGCTTAGCGAGAAGACCGAACGTTTCCATCACCAGCTTAATGGTCTCTTCGTTCTCGCTGAAATCTTTTGATGTTTCATTTTTCCATAAGGCATGCAGATCGTCGAAGGGCAATTTTCCAGTTTTCGCAAAAGCATTCCATCTCTGTCGTTCTTTGAATCCAGAGGTAAATTTAGGATCTGTGATAATGCATTTCAGGGCGTCTAAGATGAAGTTGGGGTTCAGAATAATCACAGGATTATGATGAAGGTTGACAACGAGCATCGACCCCGTTATTTGTAGTTTTCTGCAAAGATACAAACTGCCCATATATAGAGGAAAAATTAGCATTCATTAATTGCCTTCATAGGAAGGATTTTGATTTTGAAGCATCAGAAACAATTATGGATTTCACTATATTAAGATGTAATAAGGTATAATCGAAGAAGACGACCCTTCTGGGACACTTATTCAAGAGCCTCAATGTAAATTTTCTGCTATCCATATTTTGCTCGCGGTCATAGATATTGTGTTTAAAGTGAATTATTATTCTCTAATCATTATTTTGTTATCATTTTCACACCAGCATCGCAATTATCTGAACAAAACTGTTAATATAAAAAATGGACGAAAACGACAAAGAATAGTATAGAGAATTTAATAGTTTTATAAATTGGTATGGCTTCTTATATATATTCATCCAAGCACGTCCATTTCGATATTATTTAGCATATTCGGTACAGTTTACGGAGGTAAAGACACTATCTAAGAAAAACTTGCTATTTGTCAATTAATTCAAAAGCAATCAGAAAACATCAAACAGTTTACAAATTCTAACTTCAAACGTCTACTCGATGAAATGACGGCTAGTTTTAATCAACAGAGCATTTAAAGAAATGATCTTTGAAAAAGTACGATGAGAAGAAAATCGGGTGTTAAAAGTACATTTGTATATATAGTGTTCTCCTCTTTCTGTTTCAGCCTGACGCTAATCACATTAACAAGATTTTGTGTCTGCAATTTCTTCTTCAAACTTTGACTTTCAATCTTTGAAATGTTATAAATTGTTTATTTCCGTTCAAAACACTTAGAAAATACCAACATGTGAACAGAATCATAATCAAATCTCAAATTCAATCAAACTCGGACAAAAAACGACCAAAAGTAAGACTTACACAAAAGCTCTTAAATGAATACATGGAAAATAAGACCAGATGTTCCGGAAGAGTAAGCGTCTTCTTCTTCATCATTATCGACGACACCCGCAATGTAAATCTTTGTCAATTTTAGTAAAGAACGTTCTTAAATGAGAACCGGATAACAACAACAGAGTTAACAGAAAAACTAACGAGCATTTATATTTATACAAAAAAATAAACCCACTATATTCTCTCTTTTGAAAGAAAAAATACCAGTATGTATAGCATAGTCATACTTTAAAAAATGTAGGATATCTTTATCGTCTGATAGAGGCACCAAAAGCTCTCTGTTCAAATCCATTACATCCTGGTATGTCATCATATTTAAACCTTGTCCTTTCCGTTTGAGAAGTTCTTGTTCTATTGCTATCCACCTCGCAGGTACTAGCTTCATCCATTCAGACTGAAACGGTGCTACTTCGAATAACTTCCTCCAAATCGTCTCATATAGGTCTTTATGTTGTGTTGTATCATTCAGATTGGAAATCGGAAACATCTCATAGACATGCTTTTCCATTATTCGTCTTATCCTTCGGTTTTGGTATAATTGATCAAGAATGGACCCAAATACCTTGAATTTTTCCTCTTCCTAAAGACAACCGGAAACTCATGATATCAAGATTCAGGTTAGATCTACCTTGCTCGGTTTATACTACATCAAACATCATTTGCTATAATGATAACTATGACGTGACTGAATTTTAACTTTGTCTCCTCTGCAAGTTTATAACCAATTAATGCACAGCTTTCGAACAGAAAAATAGAAGTTTAAGTTAGATAACCGCTTTAGTTGCGCTTAAAAATATATTTTCTTATATCATATTTTCTTGTTTTAAAACTGATGTGTCGATAAAAATCGTTCTTTAGATAAACGTGCAAACAACTGGTTCAAAATGCAGTACTCACCGTTCCAGAAACCTGGTCTAGATGGGATCCTACTAGTATAATGGGAGGCGTTCCTCTCTTTCCATCATTGTCGTCTACGGCGTATGTACCTACGGAACAAAGCCAGGTTTCTATGCTGCCTGTTAAAGGACAAGATAAGAAAAGCGTTACGAATTGTAGATGAACGATCTAAGAAAGTAATGCGATGATTGATAACGAGCTGTTTACAGAGATAAGTGTAAATCATTAATATAATGTATGGTGTTAGTTCTTACCTATTTCCGTATATCTCTTCTCCGAATCGACACACTTCGCTACATCGAAGACCAAAATAAACACCATATCCCCTGACATAAAACAATGGTGTGTATTGTAGAAAACTGTCTCTCCACCAAAATCATAAAGAGTAATGAAGCCACTGACTGTGTCGCTTTCCTTTTCTTTTGTCTCCTTTCCTTCGGCATTGACCAGTTCCTCATACAGGTGTTTGCTCTCGTCATCTTCGGGGTCGCTTGTAAAGTCATCTTCGTATTGTGTGTCGTACCAGTATTCGTGGTCTTCATACTGGTATAAAATTTCGCCTACCATTTCCTGTTGTGCATTGGATATATTTCCTTCATTTGTAAGGGGGATGCTTCTCATTTGGATCGATGATGTGCCCACTTCTAAATGTTGTAATCAAAACAATGTTTATGTTGAAAATTCATTTAATCATGAGACTATAACTTTTCTACATCGATATTTTAACGTTTGTCGCAGGGTCTGTTCTGATTTGCCAATCTCCCCTTCAATGCATAACGCCACTACAATAACATAATGAATTTGTATTTGTTTGCAATCTCAATCAACATTCATGTACATCAAATAGTATGAGAAATAAACATGTTATTGTCTGTTTTTTCAATGAGACGTAAAGATCAACCTGCTGTGTGAAGTCTATTTCTTGTCGAGGCCTAAAAACATCGAAAACCCTGGGCCATCAGAACCGGTCGTCAGTAGATATATCTTTTTTGCCTGCCAGCAGAAAGCTTATTAACAAACTGACTTTCAACGATTTATCATAGTATTAATGCGATAAAAGGTTCATGTTCAAGTGTGTTTCACTTAGTTATACAATCATCCCATGTGCATGTTTCAAAATCTTTGATCTTTAATCGATGACTATATCACATGGTTCATATATGTTCCTGAAATATCGTTTAAGACCTAGTATATTCATCAATCAGAGTAAATTATTTAGAACCTCGCCAACTTATATTGTCTATGTATGTTACATACCTAATTTAGCAGAAACGTCATGTTGGTTTGGATTGTTCAGATTTGTGTTGGATTTCTGTGCACTGTAACGTTTAAATATTCGCCGTAAACGCTCAATACCAGTTTCCTCCTCCCCTCCCTCGCCAAGCTTTTGACGAAAGCCTGTGATTGGATCCCAATCTAAATAATTTGCTAGAAATTCCACAACGTTTGTTGATTCCGGACCATCTACTGGAAATTCTTCCCGTGACAGTTGTTTCCGTAGGCATGTCTTTCCGGATCCGACGTTCCCAATAAAGGTAATGGTGATGTTGCAAGTTTGAACCATTTTCTCAGCGATCCCTTTCTTAACCTGGTACTGTGCGTGTTGATCTGTTAATGCAATTATGCAGATGTATTGATAAATATTATCCCTCTGAATTAATCTATTTTGTATGTAATATAATGTTGCAGTACATTTGTACCACTAATAAGCAAATGTAAGTATAAATGTGTGCTAATATGTTTTTAATTATCGTATAATAAAGACACTTACCAAGAAGATGAATTACGTCTTTATATTCACTTTGTTCTGGGTTATCGTCCAATTTTTCTCTGGCCACATCTATTGGCCGTCGTCCCTTGTAGTTAACCATTTGTATGGCGTCCGGACACTTTTCACACACAATCTCCATTACCAGTGCCCATGGGTGGCCTTCTCTTGCCAAGTAGTGAAGGATATTGTATCCGAATATATCTTTCAACGCCAGGTCCGGTCCGGCCATCTCTTTGACGAGATGTACTGCCACTTGTTCATGATTATTGTGTACAGCCTGCATAAGGGGTGTTAGACCATCTTCACCTATCAATCCTAGCGATGCCCCTTCACTTACTAAACGTTGAACTTCGTCAAGATTTCCACGACTGGCTGCTAGGTGAAGGGGTAAAGACATGATCCGAAGCAATGCCTGTGAATATACCGGAGACGATGGTTGCATCTAAAATGCTTTTAATGTCAAATACGATTTCAAAATTCATGATGTTGCTTTTTTATCTAAAAAAAGACTTGTTTTGAAAATAACTTCAATTTCGATTATTTCTTCTATCCGGTTACCATCATACACGACATCAAAAGCTACTACCAACATGTATGAAGTCTGTACGTACCCAATTAGTCACGTGACTGTCACGTAAAACTATAGTAGCACTTGGTTGATAAATCGTACAGGAGAACCCCCATATATGGTTTATACCCAAATTAAGAGTTCCTCAAAAGGGATGAAAAGTGCTGTAAGATAAGCTCGACGATTTTTAAGAATTTATAGCTATGATAATGGGGTGTTCTGGTACCGTAAATGTTAATGTGAATCTGTCAATATTGGAACTCTTAAACAGTATATATAGTCTATATACGTTGTCACGACAGCCGATCACGGCCGCGATCATTGAAGAATCTAACCGTATTTCAAGAAATCGAAAGTCTTTTCTGTTATTGCTAGATCATACTTAACACTATCTTATCAAGTCAAGAAAACGGGAAGAAAAACACAAGAAATAGCCAAAATGGCAGGTGGTGAAGATACTCATCGATCGATTGGAACATTGTTACGTCATCAGAATGTATTGAAGTCAAAAATGTATCTTTTTTATTAATAGATTAATGAGCAACAAAATAATATGCAACAGTAAACCACATGCTTGAACTAACTCCACGCACGTTTAATCGTAAGTGAAATCATTATGTTAATTGTTCACAAAATAGATAACAGTACAAATAGATATTGTTACTATCTACATGTATAATAGTCAGTATATTAATAAAAATGATAAAAAAAATAATAAAAAAAAACAATAAAATTAATTTCAACAATTTGTTCTTGCTATAAATATGGATGAATAAACAAGCTTATCTACATCATCACAAAACAAATTTGGTAGCTGCTGGTCAAATGGTATTTACAAGTGTATGAAAGCATACCCAGTTCCTTGTTTCACCATACCAGCAGAGATGTGTTATATATAGTGTTTCATGCTACGACCGAGAAGAAATAATTATTTTTGCAATTGTTCAGTTACCATTTAATCTATCCAAAGACCTTTAAGAAGGATCCAATCTGACTGTCAAAACAGGTATCCGCCGTCTACAAAATTTCATGTGAAGTGGACTATGCGCGATATTGTAACTTCTTTAACGTTCCGTCGGTCGATCAGGCTATAGACGTAAACATTACCCTGAAAACTGAGTTTGGGTATCATAACTGACTGAAACGAAACATTAACATTGGCATTGTGATCAATACATTTCTCTGAGATGCAAATTAGTTTGTTTTAGGTCCTTGCGTCATGAAAACTTATCCATAAAGGAACTAGTATTAATCAATATATAATAGATTTATGAAGATATATGGGAGAATACATGTATGATGCCTCTAATCAAAGGGAAAATTTACCATGTATAAAGGATTACATATATGGTGGCCATCAGAAAAGTATCGACTTTCATGAAAAAATGTTTTGAAGCATTGGATACATAAACTCAAGTTATATACATAGATATAACCACTTAATTACATCCTCCACCCCCTTTTTAAAATTCACGATAATGCAATATATTACATCAGTAATGACACATATTCTGACCACGAGCAATGTCCCAGGGTACCATATGAACACCTGTTAGTTTTGAACTTGTTAATGTAACTGTTTGTTTTTATAGTAAGAAAGATGTTAGCACAAGCACAAGACTTTTAATCTGATGGGTGTTAAATAGGTGCAACATATTGAACCAATTCTAAAATAAAAATATATATACTTGATGGCCATCAAAAAAGTATCTATGAGAAGATGTATCAGATATGTAAGAGGATACATTTTAATGCATAACCACAAATCAAATTTGGTTGAAATATGGTCAAGCTTTAGGACGAATATGGTTTTAACGCAAGATTTTACTTTAATTCCCGATTTGTGTCCTCTCATTTCTTCTAAATATATAATGTTAAGTCTCACCCTAGATATTTTTGATGGCTATCATCATGTATCTATCCCTCTGTATATCTTCATGAATTTCACTCTAGATATGATTCTGATGGCCATTGTATATCTATCCTCAGTTATCTATGATAAATCACTTCCAGATATTATTGTGATTTTCATTTATCGTATACGTTTTTGGTATGAATTTGTAGATTTTTATCAAAAATTTGTCCCCATATGTACTTCTATCTAAGGATTAAGTCAAATGTGCAGTATTCTCAACTTTTGGTTAGTTATCCTGTATAATATGTATGGCATTTTTGAAAGCTTCAATGACCATGGTTTTTCAAATAAACTGATTTCAAAATTGGATTTTTAAAAACTTTTCTTTCATATTAAGTTCTGAGCAATGTGAAGAGCAATTTTCCTGGATTTGTAATATGTTTTGTAATATAGCACAATATTTCATTGTACATTATCTATTTTATATTACTTTCCATATTGGACAGTTGAAGCATGGTTAAAACAAGAAACATAATTAAAAATTGTTGTTGTGTTTTGCAATCATCTGAATTAAAGAACAGTCCAATTCAATATTTTATATATTTAAGATTGATATTCTGATGTTTGAAATCCATATCATGACATTTTTTAATTTATCTTAATCAATGTACTGTTATCTATAAATAGAATTTGAAACATTGCAAATATATAAGAAACTTTATATATTCAACTAATTAAAAAGCATGTTTTGCAATCAGAGCTGATATATAATCAATTGTTCATAGGTAATATCTACCTATATGAACTCTCATGCAAAAGATAGGTCACTTAAGCCCATCATCATCTAATTATCTCCTACCAATTGTCTAAACGTCTACATTGATTGATACCTATGCCTGCTCTACCAATAATGAAAGTAGCTGTTATCCCAACACCAACAGAAGTTCTCAAGTGATTTAACCCGACATTCATCATACATAACAGAATTGTGAAGAGAAATATTACGACATAAGAATATAAATAATATAGAGAGGGATAATTTTATGAAAGACAAAAGTATCTCAAGATACTTTTATGACAGGGAAAAATTATCCAGGTGCTTATATGATGGAAAGTACAAATATAATGTGTCACCGATATGCAGTAGTTGAGCTTGCATACATGTATCTAAAAATAGAAGTTATTACGATACTGTTGATTCTAATTGATGTAAATGTATTAGACGTATGAGAGATACTTAGCGTGTTGTCTTTGCTTTATAGGATTTCATGTGTCCTATATTTACAGTGATGACGTAAATCGAGAAATTTCAAATGTGTAACAGTTACATAGGCGAGATTTTTGTATGCACATGTGTGTGAAGCGGCATATACAATTATTACTTGCCCTTTTGAGGTTTTCACCATTCAGGAATAATAAATAATGAGTACTGTTTATCGATATCAGACGTGAAAAATAACATGACAGCATTTATATACGGGTTATAGTGATATGACATTGTTTATCAATAACAAAACTAACAGAGAAGATGTCATCATATTAACGTAATCTCAATGCAAACGCATACTCTACGACACTACAGCAACATAGGTACAAAAACAGGAAGTGTGCTTCAATGATCAACTGAAAAAATCATCAGAATGTACAAATGTGATATACGTATCGTTAAATATAAGCTACAAACATTTCAAACTGGATCAAGATACACATCTTCCACAAACCGTAGAATACTCGCTTACACAATCTGGTACGACAACTCCTAGTTTTTTGTATTTGATATTATTATACGTCAATATATGTTGTCATTTACGTTGAACTTACCTTGATGATTTAATTAATGATGGACGTTAAAGGACGACTTTTCAGCACCGAACATTCTTCATACGACTGTAATAGATATTGTCATGGAAAGCTCTGATGGTGTATCATGACAATATTCCGACATTTGTACAACTATTATCCACGTCATTTGTTGATCGTGTGTGAATCACATTACTCCTCGTCTTAATGTTAAAACGATTGTATAACAGCCACACCACTAACGTCATGCCGAATGATTCTACCCTATCTTACATAGAAATCAGTCTATTTATAGAGCTACACAAAGCGGACAAGGACTGAATCATCGAAAAACTACTCCAATCACAAAAATGCTTAATTACTGTATCGGTGGATCATATTTTACCGATGTAATTTATTTGCGTATGACAATACCCTAAATGAAGTACATGTACATGAATCATGAGATAAGCTAGTATAGGCTTGCTTGATAAAACTTATGTTTTAACATGTTGTTTTTACAACGTTCATGACTTCGTCATACATATTATAAGTGTGTAAAATTGTGTATAAAATATTTAACAAGAAATGTATTAGGCACCATCAAATATTGATGTTCCAAGATTGCATTACTTGTGCGGGGAAACGCCTCACGGATGGCAACTTACCCTAGGATGCTGGCAGGCACTAGGAAACTTTCATTCGTCTTCGTAAAACGAAACACTGCCGTTGATTAAGTTGATATAGTTTATATGAAATGTGGTAATGGATAGAAATGTTATATTCAATGATGTTAGAAATTATAGAAATAAGAACAAACCAAATTGATATTGTATTGATCACAAGTATGAGATGAGATACAGATAGGATGAAAATATTCTAAACAAACTGTTTCTTTATAACACAAATGAAAAAGATGTAATATAAGTATAAAATTCTAAAGAACTTTACGAGTTGTTGTAAAAAAACAAGTCGCATAACCATAATCCGAACTCAAATTCAATAAAACAGGGGCAAAGTATGAACAAAAAAACAATGTACATGAAGACTCCTGAAACAAATTTAAGGAGAATAAGACCAGGTGTTCCGACAGAAGAGTAAGCGTCTTCTGCTTCATCGACAAAGTTATACAAGCTGTAGTAAGTAGCTTAAGTAATTAAAATAATTACCTTATCCTCATTGTATCACAATCCAG